AAGAGGAAATAGATTAGTTTACTTACTTATTTACTATATCGACTATTAGCGTACGAGAATTAGTAACGACTAATAATCGTATATAATAGAAGTAGAAATAAGTACTTATAAAACTTTCTCGATAATTAGTATAAGAGAAGAAAAAGTAGGATAAAAGTAAATAGGAATAAGAATTTTACTTTATATATTACTCGACGTTCGACTAGTTTCTATTAAAAGTAGCGACTTCTTAGCGTCGTACGGAGAGAAGAAGAAGGTAATATTACGAGTTAAACTCGTATAAAGTTCTAGAGTACGCTCTAGAGCGATTACTTATAGTATACCTTTAGGCTATATAACTATATAGCCGAAGCTACGTAATTCCTCCCTATTAATTATCTCCTAGGAAACTATACTAATCTACTATAGGAGAGGATAGGAAGTATTTTCTTTATTCGTATAGTAGATAGATTTTCTCTTTTCTTTTCTCTCCTTAGCTTTAGAATCCTCGTTATACGGTAGTTAGACGAATTACTCTAAATTCCTAGCTAAACCCTTATACTACCTTTACGTTAAAGTATTAGGAAATTCTATACTACTATCTTACGACTCGTAGACTATTCTTAATCGCTTTCTATCCTTAGACGAATAGTTAGACGAAACGAATAAATTAGACTTTAGAATACTACCTTAAATACTACGTAAATTATTAGTAAGCTAATTAAATAGATCTACTTTCTAGCGCGAAGTATACTATTAATTTAGCGATAAATACGAGTACGAAGAAGGTACTATTCGACTTAATATATCGCTTTTCGCTATCGATATATATAAACGTCGTACGCGATATATAGAAGAATAAACTAACGAATAAGGCTAGAGCTAAGAAGGTAGACCTCGTAAAAGAAAGTCTTAAAAATAATACCGCTACGAGATAGAAAGTACGAAAGAAGATAGAAAAATACTATAATATAAAGAGGAAAGAAATCTTATTTATAGTAGAAGAGTAAGTCTTACTTAACTCGCGATATATTCGTATACTACGTATAAGTAAGAAGCTAACTAATTAATTCTTAAGTCCTTTCTATTACGAACTAGGTTACTAGAAGGGTCGCTAAGAATAAGCCGCCTATACTCGAGGAAAACGGAGAAGTTAGCCGATAGAGAACGAGGCTACGTTATATAACTAGGGAATAGACTATAGAGGACTATAGACTACGAATATAGTCTAGGTAAGTCTATAGTCTAGACTAGTATTATATATATACGCTCCTTTACCTAGATAGATAAGTTCGTAGTTAACTTCGTTAGTAATCCTATACCTATATTTTAGAATATAGTCCGACGAATAAGTATTCCCTTTATTATCTTAGTTAATACTCTAATACTTACTCTATTAAGGAACTCTATCTTAGTCGGAACTACTTATAGCTCGGATTATAATACTTTCGAAGTCGAAGAGCGTATCGGCCGAAATACCTATCGCTTAAAGCTTCTATAGAAATATAGGAGACTTTACTATACCTTCTATATATCTCTATTATAGACGTATTATAGTCGTCTCGAAGTACTTAAGTATTATAATTCGAGCTATAAGTAGTCCTAACTAAGGTAGGGTTCCTTAATAGAGTAGGTACTAGAGTATTAACTAAGATAATAAAGGAAATATATAATCGTCGGACTATATTCTAAAATATAGGTATAGGATTACTAATAAAGTTAACTACGATCGGTACTATCTAGATAAAGGAGCGTATATATATAATACTAGCCTAGACTATAGACTTACTTAGACTACTTCTATAGTCTATAGTTCTCTATAGTCTACCCTCTAGTTACGTAACGTAGCCTCGTTCTCTATCGGCTAACTTCCTTATTTCCTTTAAGTATAGGTAGCTTATCCTTAGCGACCCTTCTAGTAACCTAGTTCGTAATATTAAGGAGTTTAAGGTATAAGGTAAAAAGTAGTATTACGATATATACGCGAGTAGTACGAGAGCGGAGTATAACGAAAAGAAGAATATATAGTTTATAGTATTAGACTATAAACTATAAGTACGGTATAGAGACCGACTACGACTTAGCTACGACTAGCGCGCGAGTAAATAGAGACTAGCTCTAAGCTATTCTTCTTTCCTAACTAACTAACTAGAGAGGGCCGAAGCCGACGTAAGCGAAACGTAAGCGACTTAACGATAATACTAATCTATACTTTAAATAACTACCTATATATAGGTTATATACGAGTAATACGCTACTCGCTACCGAAGTTATTATTATTACTCTCCTTCGAAGAGAACTACTCTTTAGTCTAGCGGAGGGTAGAAAGATTATTCTAAGAAATAGTTAGTATACGACTAGTATAAAGTATATAGACTTACTATAGTTATAAAGGTAGAGATACTAAAACGAATAGCTTCGACTAGATAGTCGAGAAGAACTATAAGCGACTCGCTCGCTACGACATTAAGAAAGATATTAATACTACTAGAAATACGATAACTATCGGAACGACGTATACTAGGTAAGCGGAAGGTAATATTCTTATCGAATAATTATATACGAATATATAGAGACTTAGCCGCGTTATATACTTTTTATAGGGTAGAAGCGCCGTCTTACTCTAGGTAGATAGCTATATTAGAGTCTAAGAGGCGAAGGACGATAGATATAAGATAAAGAGGTACTTAGCGTAAGGTTAATAGGCGATCCGCTATAAGATCGTAGGAAATACGTATAGGGATATAGCTCTTCTCGCTAGTACGTTTACCGATAATATAATAATTATATCGAATAGAATTACCGCTCTTTCGATAGACTAGTATACGACTCGTAAGGAAATCGCGGCCGGTCCGAAGGCGGCGTAGATAGCGCTAGTATAGTATCTTATTAGATTTATAGCGCTTACTAGAAGTCTCTAGGTTAAGCTTATTCTCTAGGAGAACTAGGAAAGTTAGCTACGATTCGTATAAAAGGAGTAGGATGCTTACCGCGCTTACTAGGACGATTACGATCTAGGTCTAGAGGACTACCGCTAGTAATAGTAGGAGTAGTAATAATAGGAGTAGATATAGTACTACTACGATTAGTATACGACGAGTAGGCGACTTTACTACGACTTATAGAAAACTTATATAAAGGTACTTTAGGTAAACGAACGGCTAGTAGATTAAATTATACTATATAACGATTAGTATAGAACTCGTATAGAATACGCTCTTTAAGATTAACTAGTAGCGATATATATACGAATCTTAGGAGTACTTATAAAAGTTATAGCGAAATAAAGGAAGAGAACTCTATAACGAGTATTACGAACTAGGTTACTTAAAGGGTTACTAAGGGGAATTAGGGTACCTACCTAAGGAAGGAGGTTAGCCGATGGAGAACGAGGCTAAGTTAGGTAACCGGGTAAGGTTAGATCTCCTAGATCCCTTAGATCTTATAGAATCTCGGGAGATCTAGGGGGAGCTATAAGATCTAGGAGAGCTACTAGCATTATATATATACGCTTATTACCCTAGATAGGCCTATTTATAGTTAACTTCGTTAGTAATCCTATACCTATATTTTAGGATATAGTCCGAAGATTATATATTCCCTTTATTATCTTAGTCGACACTCTAGTACCTACTCTATTAAGGAACCCTACCTTAGTTAGAACTACTTATAGCTCGGATTATAATAACGAGTAGCGGAAGAGTATATATATACTCGAAACTAGACCGCTAACTACTCGCGAGTAACTACTATATATTTACTATACTATTATCTATACCTATTTACTCTAGGATAAATAGAAATAAATACTTATTTATTTATAAATAATATCGTACTTAATAATAGCCTATTTACTATAGAATAGGGTCGAAGAACGAATCGCGATTAGCCTACGAGGAGTATAGAATAATACTTAGCTACTAGAAGGAGGTAATAGAACTTACTAAGAGTAAATACGATTTAGTAGTATAGTAAAGTCCTAATTTTTACCTATTAGGATAGTAAGTAGTTCGATATATAAGCGAGTCGAGCGCGATACTAACTTATATACGACTTATATACGAGGTTACGATAGAGGTATAAATATAAATAAAGGTCTTAGAAAACGAAATAATAGTAAAGACCTTAATATTAATAACGTAGATAAACTACTATATATCGTACGCTATAGGGCTACGATATATATACGTACCGTATACTATACTTTATCTAAATTAGTCCCTTAAGGACGAGGAACCTAGGGGGGAGGAGATAATATTAGGAACGGATAAGCGCCGCTAAGCGAACGCCGAGATTTTAGTATATAAGAGCTACTCACCGTATACGGGTCTTAGGGGAACCTTATACTTTGAGCTTGCTACGATAGACACGTTAAGGTATTACTTATAATTGAGAGATAGATCTAATATTGAGACTATTTATACTACTCTACTAGTAGTCCTGCCTATTAGCACGAGTAGTGCCTAACACTACTTAACTATATAGGCGTAGTTTTAGTAGAAAGACAAAGCTATCCTAGAACTCACAGCTAGCGTAAGCACTATAGAAACAAGAAAAATTAACTTAAGCGAAGGAGTTTTAACAAAAAGAGCGAGACTCGAACTTAGTATAGGTAGCTCCTTCTCAAAATGTCAGCAAGAAGATGTATAAGTTCAGAGCAAAGACTCAACAGGGATTTCGAGGGGAGTACAGAGTAGGGAAGCGTTGCATCTGAAACAGTTAGGGAGCGGGACCTAGTCTCAAGAGCAGCTTCCTAATTTCCTGTCCATGACCATTGCCTGGTCTCTCGCAAGCTAATACGTGAATGAGAGAGTATGCCATCCTCCGCATCGCGGCAAATCTGATCGTTCACTTGGCCTCCAAGATGGAGTGTGGTCTTATCGATAATTACAAGAGTCTCATGCCTGGTGAAATGGCTTGTGTAGTGTGCCTCGGAATATAATGCAGCCTGTTTCGATGCCCCTCTCTATGCCAGTGGTGTTCAATCATGTTCTCTTTGATACCAGCTCAACCGGATCATATCAGAGAACATATTTTGACCACACACGCATCCCTCCCTTTCCACCACGATTCGCCCGAAGGAAGAACGGTACATAAGTCAGACACTTCTTTTCAGAGGAATGCTTCCATGGCTCAAAGCGATACAAGGATGGCTTGTCATCTAGGATCTCTTTACCGACAGCACGAATCTGGACTACTGAGTCAACTCCAGCAATCTGCTGTGGCTCAATATCTGACAAAGGTTCGTCCAGGAGAAGAATGTTATCCACATCCACATCGTTATCCACATCCTCGATGCAATAGACCAAAGGACCACGCATGATGCACACTTCATCCTTGTTCGTCTTAGGATTTGTGTACACTTTCCGCGCTTGCATGGTGAAAGTCAATTTGAGGTCAATGTTCGGGGCAGGTTCAATATATAAATAGCCTCTTTCCTCTCTTGCCTCCAGCGAGCAAGTATAATGTTGAGCCCAGCCCGGGATACGTAAGCAGAGACCAGTGGTGCCTTTAACAGTGATGTTGACCTGTCCCGACCATGGCATGCCCGTGGTCTGAGAGACTACCACATCCATGTTTGGCACTACGAATGAGCTCTCCAGGTAAAGATGGATGGCGACATATTTGCTGGTGTAAGAATAGATGATCGTCCCAAGAAGCCCAAGCAGCTTGGCAACATTTGGGGGACAACAGGCACAATCCAACCAAGGCGTACGTATCTTGGCTTCACCAGTATATGTTCTCAGCGGATTCTCATAGTAGAACGTCGTGCCATCAAGTCCGATGGCTCCGAGAAAGCCATTGTACAACCCAATCTCCATGACATCACCATATTCTGAGTCAAGGTTCAATCTGAGCAGTCGTTGGCACCATAGGATCATTGCGAAAGTAGCACATGTTTCTGTATAACAGGTTCCTTGCTTCTCGGTGTCGTAGAGAAAATACGATGGACCAAATCCTTCCCATTGTCGTATCGCACCTAGGCCTCCTGTAACATACATCTTCTTGTCAACCATGTCTCGCCAAAGCCGATCAATGGCTTCCTTAACTCGTTCATTGCCATCCAGCCGATACAGGTCGGTCGCAGCTATCATGTAATACATGGCTCGCACGGCGTGGCCTTTCAACTCGTCGGCTTCGACAAGTGTACAGTCAGCCTGGTGATAAGCATAGTCTCGCGGAAACCGATACCATGCTTTCATCTCGAAAAACATGTTGGAATTAAGATCGCCGCCACGGCGATGCGCCTCGAGATCAAAATAGATTTCGTTATTCTCGTCGCGTCGGCCTCGTTCCATCAGGAAGTACTTGGCGACATTAAAGAAGAGTGGGTTTCTAGTCATCTCGAAGAGGCGAAGAAGACCAATCTCGATCTCTTGATGTCCTGGATATCCTCGTAGCTTGCCGGGCTCTGCTCCAAACACCGAATCTACATGACCGATGGCTTTGGTCACGGGTTCCAGTAATTTCCCGCTGTTGGTGAGCGTTTCGTAGGCGACACAGGCTTCTACGAGGTGACCTAAACAATAGAGCTCGTGTAGATCTCTGAGATTCGTCCACCTGTCAGATAGTCCGGTAACAGTGAAGTAGCTGTTGATATATCCATCTGGATGCTGAGCGTTTCGGATCATCTCTACCGCGTTCTCGACATCTTCGAGCAAAGCATCATCCTTCTGCTTCAAGAGGGAATAGCACGCGGCTTCGACCGTTTTGAAGATATCACTTTCCCAGAAAAGCTTCGCGTGCATATCATAGTTAGCCTTTCCGTTTTGTAACTTAAGGGAAATAATAGAATTTCACCCCTATTTTCCTTGAATCGCCTGGTCGCCAAGTAAGACAGTCCCAATAACCCGATTCTTTCTGTCTGGCAATCATTCCAGGTATCGTCTTCTCTTGTGCTCGCTTCTGGACTGGAGCCCAGAACTTGGAGTTGATGTTAACGCTGTCCACCGGGACCTGCTCAAATATTTTTGCCATATCTGGGTACGCGATTCTTGTTACCCAGTTCTTAAAGGTGTTCAGATACGTGTAGGCGTGTAATGGTATAGTGAAATGGCCATTATACTGATGGAGTGAATGCAGTCCCGCATTCATAAATAATGTTTGCGAAAAATAGAAACCTCACCAATTCCACACGAGCACCGCACTGAGAGATCGGCACAAACGTGCGTCGTGCTCTTTTGCCGACGGTTAATTTTCTCTGGCGGGACGGGTATTTCCATGGATCTTTTGAAAGAAGAGTTGAGTCACGTTCCGCCTCTGACCAGGTACCCCATGCCTCCAAAGGGCATCAGTTTCGCTGAATCTCAATTTCGGCGCGATTGTTTGTACACCGGCATTAGGCTCAAATAGTGAATCTCTTGAACTTAGCCATTCGACACCATTTTGGTGCTCTGCTATTTTCGCCTGATGAGTTCTCATTATAGGGTAGCCAGAACAGCTCGCAAGGTGAGCATAATGTTGTATATGATTCTGTGTTTAATCGGGGCGACGGCCGTTCTAAAGGGGCTTGATTTTACACGCTGCGCGTGTCTCATCTCAATACTAGACACCCGTGGTTTCACTTCCCCTAGTTCCTTTGGTCGAGTCTCCTCCCAATCTGTCTGGCTAACTTCATTGATCCGACGCCCACCATACCCTCATCAATCAACGATGAAAGCATTTAAAAACGACAGAACTCCTAAGGAGAACTGAACTAACTGCTGCGATGGAGCGTCGTACTATAATGGTCTCTTTGAACACTAGCTGCTACTCATTCACGGTGGGAGAGAGAATTCAACTCAGAAGAGCAGCCTGTTTGAGAAAAGATTCTCTCAACGACAAGTCCAGGTTGATAAAAAATCATTCTTGACCAAGTTTACTACTCCAAGCTGTGCTGTCACCTCAAAATAAGATAGGTCCTTAAGGGTACATGCGGTTTCAGCCCTGATAGAAGGTCGCACAGGCCCCCTACGCACAAAAATGTGGCCTTATGTGTCAAGTGATTGGCTCTATCAACAGTGGGCGGAACTGGGATGGGTAGATAGGTCCACGACTGCACAGCATACAGATCCCCCATGCTGAAGAGTATTAGAGCGCTTGCCACAGGCCAAGTATTCGTGGTCATCATCACGAAACTGATGTTGCATTCCCTCGAGGGACCACGGTAGAGACACAGTGAAGGAATTTCGTATACGATATATATTGCCCGCATTCTCTCAAGCAGCATCTAACAAGCTGCACATTCGGCTTATCCCCACTCTTTCGGTTTGGATCACTCTCAGATGCCGATACTTCCTCACATCAAAGGAGCTAGTCTGGCCAAAGTAGATTTGAAGTCTCGATTGCGGGGTGCGGGTAGACAATACCATGACTCGAAGGTAGCTGATGCACCTTGGGATTGACGGCCGGCATCAAGGAAAGGTATTTGTTTACAGGCCGGAGTTTCGAAGTGGAAAGACCCTTGCCCCGCAAGCGTGCTCTATGAGCAAGTCTACCCGCCGGAAAATCCCACACCAAGGTGCGACCCGACCAAAGGTTGATGTCAACAGAGGTCCGCCTAGTCTATGATCGTTATTTGAAGTCAGATAGTCTTTCGTCATCTCGATAAAGAGGCCCGAGGCTTTGAAAGAAGAATGAACGGTAAACAGGAAAAGGTACACACTGGGACGCTATGTATTCGATCACTTATATTCACCTAGACTCGCTATCACAATCGTAGCACCTGAACTAACATCGATAGCACTAAGAACTGTTCACGCCTCAAGTCCTCGGGATAAAGCCAGCCGAAAAATTCCTTTTCAGGATGATCAAGAAGAAGAGTAGGTATACAAACGCGAAGTCAGCAGATACTTTCTGCTCATACCCTCATGTACCTCGGCGAAGTGACAAGTACGGTGTATAAAAGGAAAGTAGAAGTGGGGTGGCCCATGACTCCATGCCCATGTTCGAGTAGAATTTGATGCATATCGGGGCATCGAACTGCGACCCCCCAGACTAAGGCTTTCTATCCACATCAAGGTCTCCCTGCTTCACCACTATTTCAAGTTCTGGTCTCCGAGGGAGACACTCATGGCCTTCTCGAACCAAGTTTCACCACGTGGTTCAAGTATTCGATAATACAGAAATGTTTCCACTATTGCTTCCACCTCTGACCAGGTTCGTAGACCCATGGTGCTTACATAGCGCGCGAATTGGTCGGTGAACCAACAATATGATTGTGGCGTGGTTTCTGGACGACGAGAGCGCTGTCGTTGTTCGGAGAACGCCCCCGTGTACAGCGCGTACAGCCTGGTCTCACTATACTCTGTAGTGCGTTCTTCAGGTTTGAGCTCTAGGTCTGCCGATTCCAGACTGTCGCGGAGTTGCCTGAGCAGTAGACCTGTGCCGTCAAAGAGAAGGTGGTCTCCCAGATACACTTCTCTACCACATAAGTACATCCAATAGAGCACACCCAGCAACAGGTGTTGGTGAAGGTAGATCTGCGTGAGAGGGTGTTCCGGTGACACCGCCATGGCCTTGTACGTCAGGTACCTGTCGAGCAGTCGGCCAAAGTGAACCCCGCCAGTCATGAGCGCATGGAAGTAAACCAGCTCGGGCTGGAGCACTGGTTCATTGTTTTCCTCCAGCCATAGCTTGCCAGCTTTACGTCTGTCGAGCAACGATCGTCGTAAATTGTCATCGATGACGGCGTTGAATGTGTCAGGGACGTCGTGCATGAATTTTGGTAGGCACCGGGATGCAAGCTCCACGGCTTCAGCGATTGCCTTTGGCATCCAATTGTGGACGTCAAATGACGTTCTCTGCATGGTGATCATGGAGATTTGCACATCATGGTAGAAGTCGTTCGCCAAATGGACCAGCATCATCCGATCCAAGGGTTCACGTTCCAGGTATCTCATGCATAGTCGGCTTAGCCATTGCATATGTGCCCGAGCTCCAGCCATGTTACCCGCGTATATCTCTGCTTCGCAAGCGCTGTTGACATGCTCCATTGATGCCAAATTCAAGAAGCTATCAGGCTCAGACATTTTTATTTTCAGATAATGAATACTTTTAAGGCGGCATGCGGCTGCGTAATTGAGATAGTGTGGTGTGGCGGCAGTCCTGGAAGCAATAGCCGAAGCGGAAGCAACGAGCGCGTAACTGAACGTGTAAGTTTGACTCCATCGCTCGGACGAATTTCATCAGCGGTCAGCTAACCTATGACCTGGGTCCTTAAGGCTCTCCACTTGGCTCTGCCACGTTCTATCAGCGATATCGCCTCCCAAGCCTGTGGTAGAGTCAACCTGACAAAGAGCTCTGAGTATGGTGTCCCTGTAGAAAGACAACATGGAATTAACTTGCGGAGTGATTTCGACGGCGAGGACGTCAAAGGGGTCGGAGCTACCGCGTTGAAGGATAGTCACTGGCGAGGGGGACCGCCGAATGACAGCACCACAGCTGCTTGGCAAGTAGCTGCAATTCGTGGTTTTATTCTTCTTCGAAGACGATCTCGATGGAAGCGCTGTGCGATGTGTCTCATTGCCGCGAATAGGAGGCCTATCGCTAGCTCCAACCACACCCTGCATTGAGCCAGGAGGTTTCACTGAGGCAGCCAGCGACTTATTGTCCTCCAGCCGCTTCCACTTGCGATAGGAACTCTGGATATGTTTGAATACCTGCCCTCGATTCGGCGCGGCTTTCATATTCTTTGCGTCATGGTTGACCCACTGCAATGGCGTTTGCGACGAGCCCACATAATCAGCCATTATCGGCTGCGAGGCTGCGAGCAGATTAGGCAAAGGTGAAGTATCACTTGATACGAGGTTGAGGCGCGACTTTGTCTTTTGAAGTTTGAAGATGCCCCGCCGTCGGGTCCGCTAAGACCTCCAAGGTTAAGGTTACTCCCGTTCTAGTAGTTCACTAAAGCCCGGCGCTCCAATGAGGCAGGGGCGACCCTTTCCTTCTTCTGGTAATTTTACTACGGCTTGGAGTTCTCCAATTTTCTTGATTCAACAAAGGTCCTATAGTTGTCTTGGCTCTATAAGATTCTCTTGCGTACTTCGACATCTGATGTGCGGATCGGGGGTCACAATTGCTGATCGGCCGATTTACTGCTTCAGAAGAGGAATGATTGAGCAATGAGCGAGTTCGATCTGATCATACCATCAAAAGCCTTTCCTTGAACTAACTATACAGACAATCTACATAATATACATAAGACTCTAAGATTCTTGGTGTCACTAAAGGGACTAAAACTCCAAGCTCCAAGCCAGGCGCAACAGGGGGATTATATCGAACTACAGTTATTGGAAATGCGGACATGCAGTAAAGGACGCCTGTAACTAGATAAATACCTTGCAACCAGATGAACGCCCGTAGCTCCAAACATAAAACCAAAACAAACAATTCCCAATGGCGAGGCCTGCGTCAGGCAGGAAAATCGTGCGACAAGAGGTGCGTATGTGTCGAGAAGTGCTCATGCGCAAATGCTCTCTACCAAGCGAGCTTGGCTCCAAGGAGAAAGTTTTGCGTTTGGATAGAGGGGAAGAAGATCGAGTTGCAATGATCCAATCATTCTCAGGAGGTTCGAGAGTTGTTCCTCGATGTCCCGCGGCAAGGTGGTCACTGGCTGATGAGATGAGGGGCCTACAGTTTCCCGGGATCCCACAGGTTTGGGCGGTAAGACTGTGCCATCGATCTGAGCCGAACTTAGAGCCTTATTTGATTGTTGAAGCCGTTCCCACTCATCCAGCAGGCTCTGAGATGTGACTTGTCGTCCTGCACGCTCCATCCCTTCAATGAATTTCTTCCATTCTGACTTGAGGAAGCCGTAGCCATCGTACGGCTCGGCTTCAACCAACCATTTGCTAAAATTGTCCATGCTCCGGGTGGCAAGTTCGATGGAGCACTGGAACCATTCTTGGTGTTGGACATTGCAGCCAAGGCCGTGATTGCATTTCAACTCTCTCCTCCAATACGGCAGGAGCTCGTAATGGACGAAGGTCTCCGCTCTCGCCATGTATGGCACATTCCTGACACAGTGCAACAGGGTCGGCTCGTACTTACATCTGCTCTTGATGCCTCTCATGCGGCCGTTGGTGTCTACAGAACATCCAATTTTGATGACCCCCCGGCTCGAGGCCCTCTGGTACGCATAAAGCTCCCCAATATTCCGTTCTCCAAGATCCGCAGACGAGAGAGGGCGGAGAATCATGCCAACCAGTGTCTGGTCTGACCTCCTCTTCATGGGCTCAAACTCATCTATGGAAGCGCCTCCCTCCCTCCCCAACGATGATGTCGTTGGCTGGGCTACTGCGCCCCTCGATCTCAGCCCATATCCGTGTGGAGCCTGAGGAGTCCTCGCGCCCGAGATAGTAGGAGGCGATTTGATGGCATCTAGCTCTGTTCTCCATCTTTGAAGTAGTTCTTCGGCGAGTACAGTGTCAGTGACCTTCTCGCGGTGGTCTCTCTTGCAACAACAGTTTCTGATAAATTCTCGGAGCAAGGCCGATCTTTCTGCAGAGGAGGTTTCTTCGAGAATCTTTTTCTTGATGTCCGCGGTGGTCGTGAGCAGGCGACTGGCAATTTTATTTTTACAAGGGCGGCCTTCCTGGACCAAAGGATAAATACATCTGAATTTAGGATTGGATGGATTGGATGGATTGACCTCGGAGAAAGCAACAAAGTCATCAGCGAGGGGAAGGGCAGCCATGGGTGAGACTAGACCAGATAAACGGCCCTAAAAGAGCGCAACAATCGGGTAACCAATCAGTCAGGCTGCAGCTGCGAGCGCAATGCGAGAGGTTGGATCCAAAAAGATGGCGGCTTCTCCACCGGGTGGCGTCAGTCTTTAAGTAGTTTCCAGGCAGATCAAGTTCATAGCATCGCTGCGAAGCACGGGAGATCCAGGCCGTCGCTGGAGCCTGCGTGGCTGCAGCGTTGCGTTACTGTTCTGTGGCTGATAATCGCGCGATTGGTACTAAGAAGCTCATTATTGGTTGACGGGCATCAATGCGAGCCGGAGCGGGCATAATCAATTGACTACTGTTCCTGGGCGCTGCAGGACAAGTCCATTGACTAGACCAGGCGTTTCTCAAGGCGCTCTCCGGCCACACCCAGACACTTTCTCTGAAGGTCGACGTCATGATCCTTGCAATTAGACTGAGTGTAGTTTAGGATGGAGGCCTCTTGCGGAAGGTCGAAGCCGTTAGCATCATGTGGACGCAGTACATTAACAGGAACTCCTCCATCACATGCCATAGATCATATCCGATATAACCCTTCTCTAATAATAGCAACACCTACCGTTATTTTAGCCTTTTCTCTCCGGGTTCTGGGCTACATGAGATTTCAGAAGGTAGAACTGGTGTTCATTCTCGATAATCTTCTCACTCAAAATGAAGACACATTGAGCATATCAAATTTAGGCAGAAAGAGAGAAAAAGCCTTGGGGCGTTGTAATATAGGATTTGATAGTATTGTAGGGCAAACGAATTTCCCACCTTTCTCAATCTAGAATGTACTACGTACTATTATGTACTTGTAGATCAAACTCAGGTCGTCATCTCGTCAATCGTAAGTTGCCTTACGAGTACGGGGGAGGAGTGTGAAGTTGGGTGGGTTTACAGCTGCTTAGGGCACGGTCCGATCCGCTTAACCACGGTTAGTAGCTCGATCCGCTGAACCCGTAAACCTATTCGTACTTCTAGTAATTCACCTTATTCCTGGGTTCTGGTCTACGAAAGTACAGAAAGAGGCTACGACATCATCATGATATTGGAAACAACACAAGGGACGCATCAATTTTGCAACGAGACCGCCGAGTTTGAAGAACGGCTCTAACTACTCAGAGGGTAGGGAAAAGCTTGGTTACAGACGGTATCCGGAGCTGAAGTTGGTGAACAAGTATCATTCAGATTCACCATCGACATATAAGCGCACTGTGCCACCATTAGTTTCTGCTCGATGTCTCTCTCTCTCTCTCTGTGCATAGATATACACAAAAATCTTGCGCTTATTAAAAGTTAACACTCAGATTTCCGACCTTTTCATCATCATACATCGTCGGGAGGGCGCAGGAGATAACCAACCATCTTGGCCACTCGACTAGCCTGCCAACCAATCCATCATTTAGTCAGTAATACACATCATCATCAAACGGCCTGTCTCGCGATGACCCTTGAAGATGGTGGCGCTTGTAGCCATACGTCGCTCCTCCGCCGACTGCTCCACCACCGCTGCCTCTATTACCCATCGTGCCCATCCCAACACCCATAGCACCACCACTTGCGTCATTCTGCTCAGACGAGTACCCATTAATTCCTCCAGCTCCGTTGCCAGCGCCATTGAACTGTGCAGTATAGCCATTGACATCGACGGGATTCGTGTCCAGATATGCTTCATACCCGCTGCCGTAGCCAGCGCCAATACCATTGCCCATATAGTCCGGGGAGTTGTCATCCGTGGCAACTCCACTGCCGGTACCAACTCCACCGGAAGCACTGCTGTTGATAACACCACCCTGACCGCCCCTCTGCACAGCATGAGCAGCGGGACCTTCCTCATCGAAGAAGCTCAGGTCAAGGTTCCCCCAGTCCTGCTGTGTGGGACGACCCCAATTCTCGAAGCCTACGGCAAGCTGGTTCTGGTCCTTGAAGAACCAGTCCTGTGTCTCTTCTATGAGTGAGTCGACACCTCCGAAGAGGCGGGCAGCCTCCAACGGCCGGCCTGCCGAGCCACCGGCCCCGGCTGCGGCGGCAGCAGATGCTGAGGCAACCGCGCCTTTCATGCGTGCTTGGTGCGAGTTCCACGCATCTTGCTGTGCTTGTGTTAGGTGTGTCGATGGTCGGATTTTATGAAGGTTGCGTGACAGGTCAGCCGCGCTAGTCGGTGGGAGAGAAAGACCACCTGAACTGCGTCGTGTATCGATCGTTTCTGCTGGACTAGGAGCCATGTGACCTCCAGATAGGCCAGGATAGACTTGTGGAATCGAGGACCGCATTAATGCCGCTTGCTGCTGCTGCTGCTGCTGCTGCTGCTGCTGCTGCTGCTGCTGCTGAATGTTTCGTGCCATGAGGTCCGTCAGCTGCAAAGGCTGCGATGTGATCTGTTTTGCCATTTGTGCGAGGTTCTGGCTCTGTGGCGAGTAGTTGGCAAGGACTCCACCGGTGCCAGTGCTGCCATCTCCGCCAAGTCCCCACTTCATGCGCACACGCGTGAAGACGACGTCCGCCTCGTCAGGAACTGTAATTTTCCATTTTTCGGCGCACACCTGTAGTACCGTTAGGGTCCGCCTTGCGGCCGTCCAGCACTCGCCCATCTCCTCGAGGTGTTTCACGCCGTGGATAATGTCCCGCCGAGCATTCTTATCAGGTAGGTTCAATAGGTGGATTGTACATGCTGAATGTACGATATAAATGGCGATATTACAGATTTGGCGTAGTCCATGGGTGCGTTTGTAGAGTCGGAAGAGTTTCGATACGGCGCCAGCAGCTTGCGTGCAGAATTTCCGAGGTGAGATATGAGGGGGCAATGGTGAGGTGCTGCGTGTGTATCTAAGGAAGGGGCGGTAGAGGTGTATATATAACAACTGGAAGAACATGCTAGATTGCATTAGATATTTGATGGGCAGAAATTGAAATTACAGTACTCACTGCATCAGTAATACTTGGGGCAGCTGGCCCTCTCTCGCCTCCAGTTCAGATGGGAGTGCCTGCTTCCAAGCTTCTAGTCTTGTGTGCACGTCACTCAATTTCTTGAGCTCGGCTTTGGAGGAAATTGGTTTGTCGATTTGAGTAGGGTTGTAGAAGGAACCTAGTAGATCACCGGATATTTCAGCTAGTTTTGAAAGCTGCAGGGCAACGGCTCGCGTGCGTGCTGGTTGTGCATGTGCTTGGATAATACCGGAGTCAGTGTACGGAGACCACATTTCACTATCTTCGTGTGGGAATACATCAGGCTTCTTCACCGTGATATTTGGCATTTGAAGCTGAGGTTGGCGTCCAAGATAATTCGACCAACACCTGGAAAGCACCAATTGTCAGCCGAATGTGTGGTGAGGAAAGTCAGACAGGGGATGGCCATACTTATCAAAAAGGAAACATCCCCAAAATGTTATCCTCCTTGCGTCAATATCTTCATCTGCAAGCCGAGATGATTCATTAATTGGCGATACATCAACGTTCAATCCAAGATCGCATGCCATTCGAAAACTCATGCCACTATATACCCAGCCTTTACTCTCACGGCCACATCCAGCCTCCCGCACCGACATCAACGCCAGAGCCTGGACGGTGCACAGCTTTGCATTGGCGAACTCATCATCCTCGTAGAGGAGCCTCTTAGCCTCAGCGAAGAAATGGTCGCCTGTGGTGCCTGAGTTGTCAGGGTCTGCTTTTGCCGCTGGTCTGGATGAAAAGTGACAACCCAGGGCGAGCATGACGTTCACAAGCAATGGGGAGCAATACTGGGAGGATGTGCCAGTCAAGAAATCGCGGTAGAAGAGCTGCTTCGCCAGTGTTGTGAAGAAAGCGTAGTGCCAACAGAAATACATGTTGATAAAATGGAGAATGAGCTCTTTATCCTCCGTGACCGTGGTCCACGATAAGATTGCCTCCTCCCGCGGGCGGACTATGCTGGTGTCTAGCTGCTGACCGGGGGATTGCCCAGATGCTCGTTGAGGATCGTAGTCTTCTGGCAACCATATGAGGTTGGACGTGCCACCGATAAATTTCACGGAGCCATCAAGCATCAGGTCACCCATCCTTCCCGACAGCTCGGCTTCAAATTGAGGCACAGTTTGGTCATCTTTATAGACGGGGGAGTCAGGAACCTCTTCTGCCGCAATACTCTCTTCTGTCTCAATGCGGTGGGCGAGCTCTTCGAGGCTATCGCATGTGCGGATCTGGCGAACGAGCTCCATTACATCGTCCTCCTCCGCGTTGAGGATGGCTTGGATAAGAACCTGGAGGGTAGTATTCTTGGCTTTGGAACTGTCTACTTCCTTCTTATACACGCCTTTCCGTCGGTGATCGGTATGGGGCGCATATTCGCACTCGGTCAGATAAACTGAAGCGCAAGCAGCGCACTTGGGTAGGTTTCCATCGCACTTTGACTTTCTCTTTCGACAGGCGATGCAGGCTGTACTGACGCACCTTCGTTTGCTTGCTGCGCTTTCTTTATCCTTGCTCTTGTTTTTGCTTTTGGATAACTGCGCCCCAGATTCTTCTGTGATAAGAGGAATGTCATGATCTGCAGGAGGAGTCTGATCGGGGTTGACCTCGTCGGCCATGGTGGCTTTAAGTGTTCGCTTGACGCACCTGCGCGTCCTCTGATTTTAAGGTCTTTTTCGGACAGAAGAGGCTACTGTTTCATGTAACCTGAATGCTAGAAGCCGGTACATGTGCATCCTTTCATCTGGCAGAAATCCCGGACTCTTGCGGCGCAAACTCATCTATACCCCAGACAACAAATGCAGAGCGAATCGTGGGATCCACCTGTTCTGAATAGGAAATACAAGTCAGGGCTGAAGATTAGTAAAAGCCTGCATGCGCGGCTTCGGCGCAGAAGGGAGGAGCAAGAGAAAGTAGCCGTAGGCTATCGGCGTCGCCGTTGGTAATGGTCGATGGATTGAGGCACCGAGGAAAACAGCAGTCAATATTGCGTAGACCGGATTCAGAGGGACTACGGATGAGATTTCAGATTGGGATCAGGATGGGATCTCAAATGAAGACTCAGGAGGAGAACAAGAGGCAAGCATCTTATCGGTAGTCCCTGGTTGGAAGAATCGGGGACCATGGGATAATGCCAATGCGCAGATCCAATCGCGGGGCAGATGATTTGGATTGAGAGAAGGACGATCAAAGTACTTCCGCTTCCGAGGGCGGGCAAAAGTCTTGGCATATCACGTGGCCCTGGCGGGTGGCAGCCATGCGATCACGGCCCGGTGAGACATAACTCAGAAGGGTGGTATCTATGTGCAATACCGAAAGTGAGGCATTTACAAGGCCAATAAACATTTAATTCTTCGCTCTGGTCTCATGTATAGTCAAGGCCAGTCCCAATAAGCCATCCCAGTTCATCAGCGTAGCTCTAATAACGCCTTGCTGTTCTCGTACACCACGTAGCTAATGCTAACTGCCGGGGCAACCTTCAGTAAATTCGGTGTCACGCCCTTGAAAAGTCCTTTGAATCCTTCGCCTTGTATGGTCTTGATTGTAACATCTGCGATCCCTTTATATGTTGGTGGATGAAGTACTGTGCCTTGAGCCTGTAGTCGCGTCCTTAGGAGGTTGATTGGATACACAACCGTGGCACTGATCGCTCCTGATGTCGCTCCGATGATACCTGTGATCAGATTGCTCATGTCCACATCCTCCTCGTGACATCGGTTCGCTTTAGCTTTTCTCGCTAGCACAAAGTGTTTGCAATTCTCGAAAATGAATAAGTCAATGGCACTGTACGGGAACATCCCGGCGAGTCCCATTCCTAGACCTCGATAATATGGTAAGAGCCTGCCTTGCCTCCACATTTTCTTTGCCGTCTGGGCAATCAATGCATTTCCATGGAGACCACCCGAGACCGTCTCACATTGCATTCGGCTGTAGAGCGAAAATACATTTAGCGCAAAGAATGAAGGAAGTCGCAAGTACTTACAACTTTAGCGTATCCAAAGGATATACCACACACTGTGATATTACACCTCCAAATCCTCCCGCAAGGAACTGCGATGTCGGATGCAAATGCTTGGGATCAGAGCCCTCGAACTCAGCAAGCGCTTTCTTCGCTGCCTCGTAGGCTCCAAATTTCATGGCTGATTCAGGCATGACTTTGACCACATTCAGACCATTCCCAGCAAACAAGCTGCGCATGCCACCAGCCGCCCATAAATCTTTACAGGCGTCGACCAAGGGGCGACTGAAATTCTTGATCACCTGCAGTGGAGCACCATCCTTTGCAGCTGCAAGGGCAGCTTTCTTCGGACTGGTCTGTGCAATGAGATAGACTTTTAGTCTGTCAAGTGGTGCAGTGGCCGTCCTGGAGATCATGCCTGCTAAACCGCCTGCTATAAAATAGCCTAATGGAGGGAGAAGGTCTGTCAGCATTTCTAGCAAGCCAGTCAGAATTTGTAAAGGAGCGTTGTTTCAACAAAATGGCGTGAAAAACGAGTAACCAAGGCGGATATACTCATCTGGCCGAAAGCCGGCGCCCAAAAGAACCAGTCATCGGACCTGGACTTTTGTCGGCGTCGTTGTGCTCGCTGATGAAGAGGAAAGGGTACTATACCAAAGCCTTGCAGTGTATCGTTTATGTGAACATCTCCTTCTTGATTCACATTCGCAGTCGCGGAATAGTATGTGATGACGGCGCGAAGACTGGGCTGATTTGCTGGGAGGAACATGAGGAAATTTCTAGCGGGGTCTTGTCAACAGGACGGTTCTCATGAGGTGATCACAGGCTGGACAGTCAAACTCACCTCCATTCCTCAAAACTGATCTCGCCATCATGATTCGTATCCACCTCATCAAAGAATTGATCCAGCTTTGCATTACTTATGGTAAGGCCAGACCGACTGAAGGCAGAACGAAGTTCGTCCTTATCGAGTGCCCCACTATGATCTTTGTCGATGCTCTCAAACAGCTGCCATAGTTCCTTCTCAGCATGCTCCACAAAGACTCTGAATTCGTTGAACTGTATTCTTCCATCGCCCGAGGTGTCAACAGCTTTAAGAACGTCGGTGAGAAGGGCATCGGCGTTCTTGAGTGGATGGTCGATCGTGCGGAGGCCTTTCTGGAGTGCTGGCAGGTCTAGCTCGCCTTGATTGCGGGTGTCAAGTTTGCGCCATAGCTCTTCAATCCGCTGGTTGCGGCGTTCATTGGACTCTCTGTTCATACTCCGCCTGGTATGATTGGGACAGGGTGACTATCTGTGAGGGAGCATGGCTGTTATTCTTTGCTCACCGAGTCCAGCACTGGAGATGCAGATATCAAGTGGGCTCGAGACGGTGTTGTAGGAATGGAAGGAGCCTTGGAACGATCCAAGAGATAGATGGCCAAGGGTTTCAGAACAGAAGTAAAGGAGGTTTCGCGTTGACTGAAGGTTGGAGCTTGCAGTTGCTTGGAGCTGTGACGTGGGGTCTCCATCCAAAATTCAACTTGCCCACTTTTGCCCATTCTAACCAAGGAATGCGCAGCCTCGCGTCGCCAAGCGTTGTTGGTCACGTGTAAAAGTCCCTTTGGTGCAGCCTCGTTCGGATTCTGTTTGGCGGTGATGTCTATTCGTTGCTCATGTACGATCTATTGTCCACAAAAGCATGCCATGTGGAATGAAGGGTTCTGCATTCAATTGTGTCAACATCATCTTTGCAAGCCCTTTGTTTGCAGTGATGCCCGACTATCAAACTCCAATTCCAGATGCAATGGGTCTCTCAATTGACCTTCCGGATGAGAAACACTGATGCCCAGTGGGCAATCATGCCACACTCGTGTAAACTCTACCAAATTGCACCTGCATCATGATCAAATCTGCTCAACTCACGCCCTGCCTCTTCGACCTCCTTTCTGGCCTTCATTCGCATGTAGAAAATCGGACAATCCCTCGAGGAACACAATACCTCCGAATGCATACTTCCTTGGCATCTCTGGCATTGTGTCCACAGTCGATTAAATCGCACTTCGAGCTCTCCAGTCCTCTTGACATGCTTAGTATATAGTTCTCCGATCCTCGGTCTGCAGTCCTTGCAGACTGCGCCCTTGGACTCCTCTGCTCCAACAAGTGGTTTCTTGCAACCCATGCAAGTTTCAGTCTTCTTGGTGAATTTCATCAATCCACCCAATGTTGGAGCTGCTACGGAGATGGAACGGGTATGATCTCCATTGAGGAGTGAGTTCGCACGTTTTTCGCCGAGAATGGGTTCGAAAATTCGTCCCAGAGGATTTGACAGCTGGTTATCCAAGTAATACTTGGTATCGATAGGTACGTTGTTCTCCAGGACGAACATTGGATCCTCGGACTTCTCATAATTTTTGCTGGACGCAGACCCTTTGATGATGACATATGGTACTCGATCCCCTAGAGCCGGTGCAGAACCCGCATCCCGTTTCATCATACGCTTAGCCAGTTCGACGTGAGCTTGCTTGCCGTCATATTCTGTCTTTGACAAGGCCTTTGTAATAATTAGCATGGAGAGGTCGATCTTATTCTGGACTAGTTTGGAGATGGTCTCCTTGACATAGTCTTGAGCACCATCAATGTCTCGGTCCATCAAAATCTTCTTCAGGACCGTTTCGATAACTATCTGTACGAGTCGACAGTTGTCTCGTCGGACAGTCTCAATACCTTTGGTATCCATCTTGTCGAACTTGGTAGGATTGGTCCAGTAGAGTCCGGCATAGCGCTTCTTGTTGATCAGGAGATATGGGAAATACACCTTTTCGAACTCCAGTTTGATAGGGTTGACAAACTTGGATGAGACAAAATCGGCAGCTTCTTGTCCAAGCTCCATGGTCTTGGCCAGATCCTTCTCTCCAAATTTGACCATGACCGAATCGGTATCTCCGTAAATGACCTGGGCGTCATGTGAATATCCATTGGCTATTGTGTACTTTTGCTCAACTTCAAATTTTGTTTTCTCAATCATTTGTCGGCCATAAGCTGTTGTACTTGAGGCTACTGGAAGGCATGGTAGCTTGCCTACTGTAGCGCCTGTGAGACCATAGACTGAATTTGCAGAAATCTTCAAGGCTAATTGACGACCGTTGAGGACTGCCTTCTTGAACGGATCTGTTTCAAGGGCAAGCTCCTTCTTGGCTCGTTTACGTGCCGAAAGTAATTCTTCCAGGATCTGTGAAAGCAAGCCCTTTCGAACCTTTGCGGTTGCAAACATGTCCCCATTAGGCGTGACAATATAATCCTCATCCTTCGTCAGATTGAGCTTTTCAATGCTCGACTTGTTCAAAAGCGTGGTATAGCACAAATTATGGGCTTGGATTATGGAGGGATATAGTGAGGCAAAATCAAGAGTGGCAACAGGTACATCATAGTAACCCCGAACCGGCTCAATGACTGTGGCACCTTCATATTGTTCATCGGTGGATTCCGTGCTCAGGTTTGGTATCACTAGTTGCTGTTGCAATGCTTTCCTGAAAAGCTGACTGATGAATTTGACTTGTTGGCCACGAGAAAGTAGGTAATTGAACGGAACTCCTGTGACTCTAGCCATTTCGGTATAATTGACGAGACACATTAGCTTGTCCATGAGACGCTGTGGAAGATATGCGTCCTTCAGGCAATACACAGCTAACCGACGTCTTGAATCTGGAGTACCATTGAAAAGTTCGGTGATCATGGTATGGTGGACATCTTCTTTTTGCTCTCCCAGGAAGTGCGCACTCACAGAGTTGAGAGTGTAGCTTCTGAGTTGGTGATCTCTTTGTACCAGCTGTAACAGATCAAGTTGAAGACGGCCGTGGGTATTTGTTGTTTTGCTGTCACGATTCCCCATCTGCTTGCTGGAAAAGTTGGACACCGTTGAATGAGAAACGGCGCTCTTTATTCGTGACCAGTATGGGAACTTCTGCAACTTTAAGTGCTTTGCTCTGTCCAGCAAGTAAGGGAAGTCGAATTTGGCAATATTGTAGCCAATGATAACATCAGGGTCAACCTTTTCTAGAAAATCTCTCCAAGCCATCAGCATTTTGGGCTCCGAATCATGTTCGTAGATTTGGGTATTGACGATCAAACTGCAAGTGTCGAGGACGAAAACATTTCGAACAAAGGGCTTGGACTCTCCATATCTGGTGACGACGTTGGCAATCTGAATGACTGGATCCATGTCGGCTTCTGGGAATACACCTTTTCTCCCAGCGCATTCGATATCGAAGGATAATATCCGAAGTGGGGCCATTTTAGCCCACTCTCCATCGTGCCCATGTGAGATGAGATCCTTGTAGTGACAGTACGCTTCAATCTGGCAGTTTGATTGGCGATCATGCTGTGGTAGAACATGATACTTTCCAGCAGGGACGCCAACCCAGCACATTCCAGTAACTCCAGTGTCAATCATAAAGCGAAGAACGTACTGAATACTGTCGAATGTCAGAATCTTGCTTTCAACACCCTTCCACATTCCTTTGTAGTTGGCGTGTCCATCTTGGATTGCAGTGCGTAACCGATTGATGAATTTTGGATCTGTGACTGTGATCTTAAGGTAGGGGCTCTTTTGATTGCCTTGAAATCCATAGACGTTTTCACGAAGCACCATCTGAACCGAATGAATTACGGGCTGGTGATTCGCAAGCTGTGATTCGAGATATGCTTTGTAGCCGCTGAGATCCTGTTGTTGGAAATTGACAGGAGCAGCGACATATAGGTAGTGAAGAAAGTCGGTTACGTGGAGAAGAATTGAATGTCCTTCCTAGAGAAAGATGAGTGATTGGACTCTTGATTCAGCATCGGTGCTCTCACCTCCGACACGCCAAACATCTTGATTGTCATCTTGCCACCGTGAAGCGTGCCTTCTTCGACTTCAATCTGCTGGAAGCAGAGCTCATCTTTATGGGGATTGAAGTCATCAAGACTAGGTCTATCCCATTGCTGGTCTTTCTCGGAGTTATTTTGCTTCAAGCCAATGATGTCCTGGGTCATCTTCTCGAGGACCTCAGTCTCGAAAGCACTCTTGGGCTGGCTGGAGGCCAGCTTGGATCTGACGCCACCATTGTTGGCCTGAGAAGAACTGAAACTACCGTTGAGCCCATTGAGTTTCCTCTTCTTCGACGAGGGAGGGGACTTGAGAGCATTGTGGGTGTTGGTTGCGTCGGTAAGGACTCGTTTCTTGGGTTGATCCAGTACACGCCCGGGCATGATTGCTAATGGCCTAGGGATGTAAGTGGACGGGACCGGGAACAGCAGAACCTGCAAACAAATTGACGAGACTGAGACAGCAAGAACGAGGTACGGAGTAGGTATAAGGTGCAAACAGAAAGGAACAATAATGGTCGGTTGCGCTGCGCGTCAAGTCGCGTCACGTCACTGCAGACTCCGTTGCTCGTGTCCCGCTTTAATGACAGCCCCATTAGGCTTAGCGTTTTCTGCCCCCATTGGTCCACCGTTGGCGGGCTTTTTGCCATTTTTGATTCTTGTCTGACCGCCTGGTCGATCGCTCAGCGCTTCATGTTTCAAGCCCCTCCAGGTGTCCACCGTCTCTCCTCTATCTGTCTTCAAACAAGGACTTCCCTACATTCAAGCAGTGTTCAAAAAGACTAGAGACTCTTTGCATACTACGAGACCACAGCCAACTTTGTCCAACTCGGCTCAAGCAATATGGCGGACGAAGTCGCAGCCGATAGAACACCCGGTTTCAAGGTGGGGGAGAAGAAAACACTGGATGAATATCACAAGCTAGGTAAGTCAAGACTTGGATATTTACACCTACATCTGCTCGCACTATGTATGACGATCGGTTTTCGTCACACACTATCTGTCTGTCCTACTGTCCTACTTGCAAGAGTGGTGGCAGTCAAAATGCTCGTGTCAACTATCTTATGTTGACCTAAGCTCGGCCTCCAGGGGCCAAAGGTCCATGATTTCCTCAACACAACCCAGCTAACACTCTTCGCCAGACCAGGAGGATGATGCCTTGAACAGATGGAAGGCATCGCTAGGTCTTGCCACAGGCAACAGCATTTCTGATCCCAACGACCCACGTTTGTGCATTATCAAGTCTCTTGCCCTGGTGAGTACGTGTTGTGCTTCGTGAGGGATTTTGAAACCGACGGCAATAGGAAGTTGAAGGTCGACCAGATATCACTATCGACCTGTCCCAGCAAGGTGCATTGGAGAGCCTGAAGAACAAGCCTTTCAGCATCAAAGAAGGCTCCAAGTACCAGATGAAGGCTGTCTTTGTCGTCCAACACCAAGTTCTCTCTGGCTTGAAGTATGTCCAGAATCTAAAGCGCAAAGGCATTCCCCTGGGCAAGGACCAAGAAATGATCGGTAGTTATGCCCCGAACACTGTTGACAAACCGACGTACACGAAGAAATTCGCTCCAGAGGAGGCGCCATCTGGCATGATGGCTCGTGGCCATTACGACGCTGTGTCTCGATTTGTAGATGATGATGATACTACTCATCTCAAGTTTGAGTGGTCTTTTGACATTGCAAAGGACTGGAAGTGAGGACGCTCGGCGACTTGACGCTGAACGCTTTTCTGCAGAACGCCCTAATGAAGTCGCCGCATGTAACGATTGTTGAACTCAATCTGAGGGTCGTTCATGACGATGCTTTCAACGTTTAAGGGTGGTGCCCAAGCGCTCCCCTGCAGATCACCGCTTGATATTGGGTCTAGAGAAATCGAACATAAGACGGATTCACAAGCTTACAGAAAGTATTCGATTTGAGTGCCTTGGCCATCTTTGCCTTGTGCTTGCTGTTGTTGTTGCTGTTGCTGCTGCTGCTGCTGCTCATTCCGATGAATCTCATTTTCCGGAGCAGCATCAAAAATATTGAAATAACGATCTCCAGCATCGCTGACCTCTAAAACACTAGCGAGATTGCCACATCTGTAGCAATAATTTGGTGCACTCCACACTGTGCTGAGCCGATCATCATAGAGGACTTGATAGCCTTCTTGGCAGAGTTGATGAGCACGTAAAATGTGGGACATGCTGTTGACCTGGAGGAATTTCTTGACAACGTCGCCTCCAAAGGTATATCCAGCGCCTCGGGGCGAGAGAGAGAATTCGTCTCGCTCAGGATCTGGGTCTGACCACACCAGATCCGCCATGGGTCCTTCATGCGGGATTTCACGATATCTGTCGATGATTTTGATCTGGTCGATTGAATGGATGGATGGGGACAGTCCTCCATGCACACAAAAGATCTGGTTGTTGATGACAACGCTGAGTGTAAGGAAGTCGAACATATCTGTGAAGTAGTGCCAGACATTGGCGTTCCCATATTTTCTTGCACATTCTGTGTAGAAGCCGTAGGATTGTGTCACACCTCGTGATTCATGATTACCTCGAATAAGATGAACGCGTGAAGGGTATCGTAATTTCAAACAAACTAGAAGGGAGATCGTCTCCACACTGAACAGGCCGCGGTCAACATAGTCCCCTGTTGTACTGTTAGAAACCAGATTGATGTTGTAGAAGGAAGACGCACCGAGGAAGAGATAGTTGGTGTCCGGGCAGAAGCCTCCGATCTTAAAGATCTCCAGCATATCAAAGAATTGACCGTGAATGTCTCCCACTACTGTGACAGGTGCTGATATGTGTACAACGTTGCTCTCCTTCATCAACAGCTCTTTCGCCTTTGCGCATATTGCTTCAATAAGAGATTCGGCGAGGAGAGTCTTTTTGTAAAGTTGGGCTATACATTGGTCGAGATCGATACTGGCTGGTAGGCCGGGCATGGCAATTAAATGAGAGGGGTATTGTGAGTGTGTCGAAATGTCAGCTAGAACTCAGCGCTTCAGACAACTTCTTGATCGGGGAAATGATGGATGATGGGTTCGCATGATGCTTCGGCCAGGAGATGGGTGCCCAAATGAGCGAGGGGTTGAAGGAGGAGTGCTTGAGCTCAAAGACAAAGAGCAACTTCTAGATTGGCATCTGTTCAAGAATACCAACTCAACTGCATGACTAGGAGAGAGGTGTGGACGCAGCCACGCGGGACGGAGATGTGATCTGGAGTGGAATTCTGTAGACTGTGGTCGCGTAGCGGCATCGGCAATGGAAGAAAAGTGACGACGAGCAGACGCGGTAGGCGCGGCACGCAGCGTAATTACCTCCACAATCCAAAGCCGGTTTCTTGGCGCAACTCGGATGACACAAGAAACTTATTGGCCAAGTAGATTTTATCTGTCCCCAGGTACAGAAGATGGCCAGACTGCGCAGAACCTTAGACTGCCGACAGCGACGCAAAGATATGTTACGATGAAGCCGACCGAATCCCTGTGATTGGGTCTGATGCTTTGCCTTCGCGCCCTGCCGGCAGTCTTGGACATACCTTCGGTTCCGCGACTAGGTGGATCAGCGTCCAGAGCTCTCAGATAAACATCATCGCCGTCGCTGTCGTCGGAGCGAGTATTGAAATGACATGTTCTGAATTGGTCCCGAAAGGGTAGGCAGTCACCGTCGTCCAGCCTGCTACCCAAAAGGCGGCCCCTTGGCTGGGCCCATTGCCAACTTTTTCCTGGGTAGAATTCTGCCTCAATGCTCTCCCCAGATCTTTGGACCCAATGAATACCAGCGGTTCTGACGCGAGCAATGGGCTGTTTGTTGATATACCCGAATCATCAATGCGGTTACGGGAAAGAATATAGACAGTCTATTGTTGAATTTGCAAACAAGTGGCAGGTTTTGAGCCCTTGACACAACGGTGACGCTAACGGGGGAGGCTTTACTGCCGATCCTATTTTTCCAATTGTACAGAACTTGTCTCGCCAAAAGCAGCTTGAGCGCCCACCACTAACGCATCGAGATTGAATCGATCAGGATACTTATCTGTCATAGCCGAAATGAGATCGTTCGCTGTTTTGACCTGTCCTGTCCCAGTTAGAGCTCCGAAGGTCTCAATGTAATCCTTGTTACGCTAAAGATGCCAAAGGCCAGCGACTTCTCTGTTTCTCTGATGACCACAGACTATGCTAGTAGGGCCTAGCTGCACCAGCACCACCTTCTCGATACTAGAGACCCAAGCCTGCCTCAGCTCCTTTGTCGGGCAGTTTGCCAGCATTGGATGGCCGGCCCCGTATACCACAGCGCCGCACACGGCCAGGCGGAGACTGGGCACCCACACAATCGTTGAGTCTGGCACTGCCCCTGGCCAATAGAAATTGCTTGCAGTTTATGACCATCTAGGTCGAGCTTCTTGCTTAAGGGTAGCACCTCGGCCAGGCGCTCAGCGGGTGGCTGATTATCAATCTGCCCTGGAAACAATGACGCAAAAGCCTTGAAGGCCTGAGGCTCGACACTAGCTGTCATCTTCGCCAAGGTCGTTCTGGTGCAATATTGCATGACACCGGGAAATCACTTCCGAAGGGTGGGCAGGCCAAAGAAGCTATCACCAAGTCCATGAGAGATGTAAGCGGCAACAAGTTCCTTCTAGCCGATTATTGCAGAAATCCAGTCCGTTAAGGTTGACGTGCCGTCTATTGTGAATGAAGCGTTGACAAGTATGCGGATTAGGTCCATAGGTCAGTGTGTAGGCAATGGGGGGCCAAGTTCCGGCATGACCGCCGTCTGGTCTCTTCATAGAAACAGGAGGCACAACGAAAACGTTGGCAAAAAGTTCAGATGCCATCTTGAATACCGTTGACTGTGTGGTCTTCCGTCTGAGTTACCTTAAAGTTCGATCGGAACATCCGTTGTAGAAGTATTCAGGCTTAGAGCGTTATGGTGCCGCGACCCTCGACAAATGATGGCATGTCCACGAGGCCACCAGAGATCTACTACATACGCCAGGGCTAGTGCTGCGTGCTCCATGAGCGGCCGTATGGCATCTGGGTATCTCTGCTGAAACGACAGTTGATTACAGGGCATCGCTGCCTGAATTCTAACATGCCTAGTCGTGATCGTATAGCCCGTCTTCAACCATAGTGCTTTGCAGTAGCATAAAAACTATCTATATCAACTCCTTCTCTATTTCCTATCATGAGGCAACAGCAAAAATTGTCGTCATCTGTAGGCGATCGCGGTCTAGAACATGCTGTTATAGCGTATGAGTTGAAATTTATTGAAATTTGTCTGAGTATCATTGCTTTGCTGCATCTCGTATCAGAGACACTATGACGACAGCATTCCGGCGGCTTGTAGGTTTCAACATCGTTGTCGCTACCTACGCACTCTATCTCGCATGATTGCCGTGGAATAGAATGAGCGGTCTTGTTGTCGGCCTGGCCAAATTGCAGCGGTGTCATTTTTCAAGGTTGGATTGAACCCAAACCTACACCGCTTAACTTACAATGCGTCACCTTAAAGGGGCCATGATGTCGGAGCCTCGCCGAGGATATCGTCAACAAATCGCGTCTCACCAGCCATGTGTTTTTGTTTTTGTATTCGGCATGTTCCTAAGATGGGGGAGGGAGTCGACTGACCCCAGAAGCTCAGTTTGTAAGCCGAGGCCCGTGGACGATTCTGGCTCCCCGGAGACTTTTGTTCCCCGGAAGTCTCAAATCTCCATACAGGACCCACTTTGTGGATAGGACTCTCTGGAGAGCCTTTGGGTACATCGCACGTAACTTTTGCAAACTCTGTGGAGTGCATTTGCTTTGGCAGACCAAAGATCTGGCACAATCTTATCGGTTCTCGGTGCTAATGCAATCCCATTCGAGCTGGCTATTAGGAATGACAAATGAAGCCACTGGGTCAGACAATGGACACTAGGCTAGATCCCCACTTTGTTGGTTCGATGCAAGGGACATGCCTACCCAAGCACTAAGTAGTCGTTGCCAAATCATCTCCTTTTAGGAGGAAACATCTAGCTAGCTCACAGTGTGTAGCCAAAGCGGGTCTCAGGTCAAGGCTGCACGGGCGCTGGTTGACGTAGCTGCATGGCAAGGCACTTTTCGCAAGGCCCAGGCATCGTTTGGAAAAGCTGGAGTGCGGGGCAAAGGGGATATCCACATATCCACCAGCCCAGAAATAAGTTGGATGAAGACCGTCCCTGCGGCTCAACGCAGTCATCCTCTATGCGTAAGAGCATTGCACGAAAGAAGCACGCGCGTAACTACTACCTCTATCAAAGCATCTTTGGTTGATCCACGATTCGAGCTGCAAAGCGGAAGACAAATCTCGATGCCGAGGGAAAGCTTGGTGGCAAGGTCTGATGGTGTTCGAAAACCTACCCGTCAAAAAGTGGCCATGTTTGCCTGTGACAATTGTCGCACCAAAAGAGTAAATTCCATATGACCACTTTGCTACATTATCCTAATGCTAATGATATCAGCTCAAGTGCACTTACAACGAGAGGCCGTGCATGAACTGTAAACTTTACCAGAAGGAATGCAAACAAACAGGGGCGCGCAAATCCAAACCCTCCGCGAGACCGCCAACAGACGACTCTTCTTTCGACACAACGCAAAATACGGACCTGGCATCGAACGCCTCACCATCCGTTGAGAGTCAGTCGTACTTTCTCAAAGCACAAAATGCAACCCCAAGTGTGCAAGAGCATGAAGATGCACCAGATCGCCGCCTCGCAAATCTCGGGGCCTTAAGCTGTAAATTTCCTAATCTTCATTTCATGTCCTACAGTCATCTGACAGCCCCAAACAGACGACCAGCCTCAGCAAATGATGCCACTGGACGAACTATTCGAAAATGAAGTGCTGAGATTGAATGTTCCTTTCCACGACTTCTCTTTCCTCGGCGACTTGGTCAGCGATGCTGATCATTCTCTAAATGGACGCTTAACTGTGGACTCTGTAGTCCCACTGGACGTGGATGGTTGTCATGAGCAAGCGGGAACTCCATTTTCCAAGCTTACCCCCATATCTCCCCATGGTCAGCAAGGGGATAGAGTATCTGGCTTGGGATCCTTGCCTCCCAAGTCCGGACCAGGAGTATCGGAAAATCAAATTCCACCAGGGATCTTCGTCGGCGTGGGCGAAATTAAGACTGGTTTTATTGGTAAGTGCCTCGTACTGCCCTTGTCGCACTCTATTCAATGCTCATGGCAGGGTTAAACTCTACCGGAGGCACACTGGCAAGCTGTATTCGTGAATCGATGAGCAAATATCCTCATCTATCGTCTAGCTTAAACTTCGAGTGGCTCGTCCAAGCTGGGAAACATATTGCCAAATTCGACACAACTGAGACCGTTGAGATCTCTGCCGGACAGCTGCCTCCAAAATCCCTCGCAGCCATTTGTATCGCATGTAAGCGTCTCCTCCAATGCGCAAGGCAGGTGACTCACATGATATTATAAGCATACTTTACCAATGTCCACATTTACTACCCTATCATTCGAGAGCAACATTTCCAGGCCGACTGGGAGGCACTGTATGACCCATCTCAAAAAACACATCGTGCGTCGAATTATATTCTGTTCTGCCTGGTCCTCACCATCGGAGCTGCCAGCGACCGGGGCAACTCTGCGTCAGCATCGCCACTAGATCAATTTTCTCGAGAGCTGTTCCAGAAGGCTTGCGCGTTGGTATATACCCCATTGACTGAGTCCTCCGTAGGAGCATTACAGGTGATCCTACTTCTTGTAAGTTCATCCCCCATACCTAAATGCTCCCTCTGACTTGGAATAGGTCATGTTCTTGGAACTCAATGGTAATTACAGTCTGGCGTCTGTTCTGTGCGGATTTAGCATCCGCCTTTGCCAGTCGCTTGGCTTGCACAGGAAAAGTCCTCCAGACTTTGACCTCAGCCCAGATGAGATAAGGTATAGGTCTCAGCTGTGGTGGATAGCCTTCCGCTTAGAGACGTAAGCTCTGGAAAAAGCACAAGGAGCCAAGATAGATGTCTTAATCTAACATTTTTAGGTCTGTCGCCATGTCTGAAGGTAGACCCACGGCAGTCCGCGAGTTGACGTACGACGTCGACATTCTTCCGCTCTGTCAAGACAACTGCATTTCTCCGATCATCACCACCGCCTCTGAAATTCACAGATGGAGTGCCACCTTGACCGAGCATTGCAACCGATTCTCCACCATCAACAGCCTCTGCATAAACACGAATGCCAGGTTAGATGCGTTGACTGATCTCGATAATTCACTGATGCGGTGGAGGGATCAAATATCAGTAGAGTATCAACCTGGGCGAGACGTAGTGTCTGACTGGAATTCGTTCATACTCGTCGCTCCGCTCCATCTTGACTACTTCAATCTCGTGAGAGCGATTCACTGGGCTTGCCTCACGGCGATTGGTACAAACATCGATGCAATCGACGATCGGCACAGACGCTCACTCCGAACGAGTGACATGAAATGCTTGTGGGCGGCCCGGTCATTCGTCCAAACCGTGAACAGGTTTGTGTGATGTCTCGAAATCATATCGGGCTCGGCTTACGTTTCTAGCGTTGCAGACGGCGGTCCCGGCGGCAGCCTGTTTCCAATAGCGTAGGTGCCCGCCTTTTGTGCCTGTGAGCCAATTTTGACTTCTTATGCAGCCTCCACACTGACCACTATCTGGCCGTCTCGGCCATTCTTTACCGGGCAATTTGCGAAAGCCCCCACCGAATGGCAGCAAAAGTTGACTTGGAACACCTTCGCGCTGTGAAGTTACATCTCGAACGAGATTCATTTTCCGGAGAGTGGAGTGCTACGTTACAAAGCACAATGGAAACAATGCTTCAAATAGCAGAGCACTTGGTACGGAATGAATCGACAGGATCGACGTACCGGTAGGACATATGGTTTACTGCGTGCGAATTCAATCCCTGGGCCACAGCTAAGATTAACCCACGTTTCCTGGTATCGATGACACATGAGGATCCCTGACGAGCTGCACATTGCCTGGCACATGTTCTTTGATCCTCAATCATTCTGGGCGGGAATCTCCCATTTCGAGCTCAAGTTAGAATATGGATAGGGCAACCTTTATGGAGAGGATCGGAATTAACAGAATGGAGCAAGGGCTGGAAGCTCGATTGCGTAACCCAACATAGGCTCTGCGAATCAAATGTTGCGCTCGGAGAGAAGAGTGAATTCAATTTATTACGTTTGTGCGGAGTTCCAGTATCCTGTTAGTAGATCTGAGACTTTTTCCATGCTCCTAACCGAACCCACTATGTGTTGATCTGGACGTACAAGGACGGCAGCGTCTTGATTTAGGCCAAGGACTCTAGTCCAGACGCCCGAAGGGTCAGTAAAATCTCTTTCCAACTGTACCACTGACACAGGAACTCCCTGGATCTCAACCCTCCTTTCTGTTGTGAATCCAGGCGAAGTGAGCAGCACAAACTCGTACCCATCTACCAGATCTAGCGTCGAGATTCGACCATTTGTGCCAGTCTCCACCCATCCATGCGGCAGTCGAGCTCCTGGTACATTTTCCATGCGATAGTCGGAGGGTCCACGAATATGGTCTCGACCATAAACGTAACCTAATACCAGGTTGATCGAGTCAAAGTGGTCGCGTTGATGTTGAATAGCATCCTGTATTTCCTTCCGACAAATTTCGTCGGCCCACAGCTCGTCCGTGGTCATCCCAGGCTTGAATATCGCGCTAACCAAGCGGTAAATATTGTCCTCGTTGATTTTGCTCTGTTTCGAGTTGTCATTGGCAACCGCCCATCTTTCAGGGGTGACGGTGTCGAGGTATGAGTCCGAAGCCCAGCCTTTCTCGACAGCATAGATCTTCCACGCTAGGTTATGAATATCGCCGATGCCGGTGTTCATGCCCAACCCACCTGTAGGTGGGAATGAGTGCGCAGCATCTCCTGCCAAGAATGCATGTGGCACAGTTTTTGACCGATAGGATGCTGCGATCTTTGGCGAAGTCTTCCATAGTGTGATTCCAAGTTCCTTGTAGTCATCTAAAGGTGCTCCTATCGCCTGATTTCTTGTTAGATCTCATCAAGAGAGCGGTGGTTCATTTTGTACTGACCTTGAATACTTGCGCTTTAAGAACTTCGGACGTGAATGTCGCCATTGGAGTTACGGAGGGCTCGTATTGAATTGTAAACACCCAGCTGTTCTTCCGATTATATGCAATGAAGACCCCCATACCAGTAGGGTTTAAGATGAACCATAATAAGCCCGGTTTGAAGTGGGACAGGTCCGAGCTGAAGTGGACTGAAGCATAATGTAAGACAACCTCTGGTCCGCCGTTTAGGGTTTCAAAAGGTATTTGCAAAATGTCTCTCGAACTTGCATTTGTTCCATCACAGGCAATCAGATATCTGCTGGCAATACTTCGTGTGGCATTAGTTTCACGCAGGAGGACTGCAGATGTGATCTCCTTGGTGGTCGCATCTTCCGTGCAGTGTTTCCATTCATGCATTGGGAGATAAGTGACTTTGCCAGTTTTCAACGCTGCTTGCAACAGGCGCTCCTCTAATAGTGGCTGCGCAACGTTGAACATCATCTGTGGGGACACCTCTCGTGCTGCAGCATTTCCCACACTAGATTTGATCACCCCATATTCCAAACCATTCATGGAGGACGCGAAGATGACTGCCCCGGCCTCTTCGTCGGAAAGCCCAAGTGCTCTCAAAGGCGCCAGATCCACGCCGTACTGTCGGAATATCTCGACAGAGCGATGATTGATGACATGAGCCTTAGGTTGTCCTAATTTGGTGGCGTGACGCTCAAGAATAACACTTTCCATTCCATATCGAGCAAAGGCAATAGCGCTAGTTAGTCCCACAGGGCCGCCACCGACAATCAACACTGTGGTCGACTCAGGGAGTTTCCGAGTTGAAGGGTTTGCTGTGACTGGGTCTTGAGCCATCGCGGCGACGCATCACCTGTGCTATATGTGGAAGCTATAAGCACGGATTTCTTGTCAACAAGCGAGAACGGTTCGATGAAGCTTAACAGAAAGGCTACACTGAGTTTTGACGGCGGCTCGAAACAAGTGGAAATATGTCCCTTTTGAATTTTTGATTGCCGTGCTGCCTTACCGGGCTGCGCGACACCCCATGTTCGTTTGGAATCATTTTCTGGGAGCGCTGTGTCAGGTTCTGATATCGCCTCGGCAGCGTTCAAGCTCACAACAGTCCATGGAAAAATTGGGCAACTCAACTCTTCCAAGAGTCCACGCCACCAGTTCCGACAAGCATGGTACCGCGGTAAGTGGATCCTTGGGATTTATCTGGGCAGGCCGCATTTGACTGACAGTGGAGCAAAAGAAGTACATAAGGTAAAGAGGAAGTAGTCTCCTCAGTGCCAAGCCCGGGTCATGTGCCTCCTCATGTGACAGAGCGGGCCTGAAAGGGGTTCCGGGGGTTTCTAGAGAGGGCGACTTGCCCGGGAGAATCGAGATACTTGATGCCTCCACCGGTAGATGGAGTTTCTACACCATGGATGTCAGCTCCATGCCAGAAGCAAGAATGGCATTGCTGTCACCACCGAGCAGTCCCACTTGATAGTAATGCAGTGTCAGGGGCAGCAATCAACGCCAGCTTTACTTGAACTCAGCACGGTGCGGCCAGCCTGGGATAATATCGCAAATGCAGTCAACCGTCAACTGCCGTTGCAAGCCCAGTGTCTTTGCGCGACAGACAAAGAATTTGGTATCGGTCCAGTTCTGAGCACAATGTAAGGACCATACATGATAGTCTCGAGCAATCATATGCACCAGGTTTGGTCTACTTCGATCACGGGTTGCAAAACAGGCCATCCTGCTCTCTCCTCAGTGTCAAGGTTGACCATAGTTACCTTGAGATGGCCTCTCTCTCAAACTATTTTCTCATTATTGTTGTCTCACTGAAAGTCTATGCTTCATACCCACTCCTTCTATTACAATTCAAGTCCTCAGTTTCTACTACCCTGAAAGATCTCCGTGAACATGCAGCACGCTTTTCAACGTACTTCGCGCCGCTCGGCACGGCCAAGAGTAAGGAACTATGATATTGATCCTCTCACATGCGAGACAGTGTCGGAGGAAGGCACTAGCACCGACCGCGCCGACGTTCATCAGCACGACATGGATCTCCTCCCACCCTTCCGTCCGGGCGAAAAATTACCAAGACATCAGCTTCCAAGAATGTAAGCTTCATCTCAACGGATGCACGTCTTCCGGCTGGCTGACCATTTCTTATCAAGCAAAGCATCCATTCCTCCTTGGCAATATGATAGACCAGCAACAGCTCCGGGAAATGCTGGACATAGACAGGCATTCGCCTGCCAGGCACTGCCATTCAGTGAAGTCTACCGGACAAGCCATGACTGACTAGATGAGGAAAAGCACAGATGTGACTGCACCGTTTCAAAAGGTCTGTGTGGTAAGACGGTAGATGGACCTCCTCGAGCGCCTGTCAATGGCACAATTTCACCACTCCGAGCTATTGAGCCTGCGCGTAATCCATTGATGCGTCCATATGAAACTGATGCCTGCTGGAGACATTCACCGTTTGATCATATATCGAGGCAGCCTAAACCTCATGAAGGGATCCCTATTTTACACGAAAACTCCAGGAAGTGCTTAGATATGGTGCCGCCCATGATACCTGACCGCACGTCTCCAAACGATGATATTGACGATCGCGCATCTTTGGACGCCTCTCTGACCAGAAATAAGGCGTCTTATCCCGTGGAACAGAGATTATAGGTACTTGAAGCCACCATGGGATCTGCAGAAATGGAAGAACCGGCTCGTCGAGTTAGGGTTTTTGTTTCCCGCTATCTACCAGACATTGATGAAAGAGTTTACATGTCGAACACAATCTACACGGATTACGGGCAGAAGATTCAAGATAACCCAAGCCCTGCCCCAATCGACACCGATGGTCACGTGGTCTCGTTTTGGCTTCTCTATCTCCGTATATAGAAATTAGTCAGTGGTAACAACGGCTGGAATGGCTTTACACTCGGTTTCGAACCTGATAATGATCTGGAGGGTCAAAGGAGCTCAGCAGTCAGCGAAAGCGAGGGACCTTCTCCACCACCTAGAACAAACTAGGTGGACTTCGACCAGGGATACGTGCAGCATGATGAACCCTCCGCTTCCAGCGGAACATCTGGAGGTAATACACAGACTGCCGCCAGCCATTCAAACACCTCCATGCTGGCATATGGGTACCAGGGTGGAACTGACGAACACCCATCGTTTGAAAGACCATTCAGCACTCCACATCTCTTTCCAGAATACTCATCACCGCCCGGAAAGTATCGGAACGATATCCTTGAACTAAGCACTCGATTCACGGATTCGAGACGCCATCTTCCGAGAGCAACATCCGGAGCAGCAACTTCATCACTACAATATACAAACCAAGCAGACACAGACACCCGTTGTCCGTAATAGCACAATTTCACCTACACAGTCACCCCCAACACACGCAGATATGCATAATCAGCCTCGTCCGCTGGAAAAACAATAACAACCTGCAACGCAGAACCTCAACCTCTCTGAAGCGGAAGCGCATGCTCAAAGTTCTCCACGCACGCAAGCAAACCACCCCGATACTCCTCCGACAACGACAGCAACAACAAGCTCAACTATATCGCTGAAGTTCAACCTCCTTGAGTCCGAACGCGAGCCCGCGCACAAACCAGAATATCAGCGGAAGAAGACGCAGCCCAAGCGAGAAAGCACAATCAAATCGACGACATGCAAAACTCAAGACACATCATACGATGAGAACGGCCACGACCGCCAACCGACCCCAAGCAACATCAGCACTATTCTGAAACCGCCTTCAGTAGCTGTACCAGCGCCATCGCCATCGCCCACGAGTGCCACAAAAGGACGACCCCCGCTCCGATCCAGCAGCAGGGGTCGTGACTCAACCATGCACATCCGCATGCACGCGTCGAGGAAATCCCCTGGCAGAACCTGACGCCGAGCCGGAAGCGGCGAGACGTAGGAGAAGAAGAGGAAGAAGAAGAAGGAGGAGGAGCAGGAGGAGGAGAAGGAGAACGAGAGGACCGATCTCGAGCTGAGACGCCTATGACACGTCGAGGCAATAGGCGCAGGCGTGGACGCGGGTGGCGTCGCAGGTTGAGATCTTGAGCAATGAAGCGAATGTGAGAAAGAACAGCAACGGCTCCGGATGTATCGTTACGCACGCACTGTGCTGTGTTGTCGGCGCGAGGAGAGATTGGCATAGCAGAGCAGAGCACAGCACAGCTACCAACGCTAGACGCAGAGTAGAGTGGCGCAGAGCATGTCGAACTCAGCTACTTAAGCTAGACGCCGAGAATTGCTGCCTCGTGGCTTCTTACGTCCCAGAACGAAATGCGAATAATCCAGCTTGTTGTTGTATATCGCGGCGACTGGTTACGTAGCAAGACAGACTGTGCTTGTTAAGCAGTGGTAGTACATTGAGTGGGAGGGGATCCAAGTTGAGAGCGAAAGCAGGTTACTCGCGCAGTTTCAATAGTTTATATTTATATCTTTGTTGGCCCCTTTTGACACCAAGGTAAGCCAGTCATCTACCATTGCAGATCAAGAGACAATATGGGTGAATCTTGCGGGCCTTTCATCCATCGCCTCTCATTCTCACTATTCTCGAACCCCCTTCCAGCTTTTGCTCCTAGGCGTCCCTGAGAGAGATGCAAAGGTAGCTTCCACCGAGGAACGTAGCCTTGAGCTATAACTTATCGATCTACACCAACACTTTTCTTTCTTCCAAATCAGTCATCCAAGTTGTGGCTAGTCGTCACAACTTCGAGCCCGATGACGACGACGTTGAAGTCCTAGAAGGAAAAACGAGAACACCGAGCCTCAGCTTCTATTATTTCCTGGAAATCTCGCCAGGGCTGGGAGGGAGCTCCAGGAAATGGTAATAGGGTGATTGACAGAGAAAGTAAAGGGGTATTTACGATTTCCGATGCATGACTGTCGCAGCCGCCTATTTTATCACCAAAGAGTGGCTCATGGTCAGCCCAGCAAATTTACGACTTTTCCCGTGACAAAGCAGCGAATCTGCTTCAGAGAAAAAAAAAAGAAAAAAGGAGAACATGCAACATACCTGATGATTCGGGAAAATCAACGTATCCGCAACGACGACATTCTCTCTGCGGCCCGCGGTGAAGACAACGACCTCGGCAATGTCATCGGGCGTCAGGGGCTCAACACCCTTGTACACGGCGTCGGCTTTGGCCTTGTCGCCGCCGAATCGCACCACTGAGAATTCCTGTGGGTAGGTGGTTGATCCAGTCAGAAAAACTTCTTCCAGGTGAAGAGGGGAGTATGGGATTCTCTTTTCCGCTGGTTTGAAGGGAACAACGATCATGGCAGACTCACAGTTTCGACTTGACCGGGATCGATCTCAATGACTCTGATGCGGGTAGCGATCAACTCACGCCTCAGACTATCTGTGAAAGTCCTGACGGCGGCCTTTGTGGCACAGTAGATGCTACCACCGGGGTAGCCTTCCCTGCCAGCAATACTCCCAATGTTGATGATATCACCCCTCCCACCATCCGTACCGCCTTGTTTATTCTTAAAGACAGGCAACACCGCCTGAGTCAGGTTGATCAGACCGGTCACATTGGTCGCGAACATGACGTCGATGTCCGCGGGGTCGATGTTCGGTGCCTGGGCCATGCCCTTGACGAGGCCGGCATTATTCACCAGGACATCGATATCGCGGAATTCCTGTGGGAGGCTGGGGATGAGGTTGCGGACCTGGTCAGGTTTGGAGACGTCGAGTTGGACGGGGAGGACTTGTACGCCAGAGCCAACCTCCTTGTTGATGTCTGCCGCGACCTGCTTGAGGGTGTCGATGCGGCGGGCGGTGATAATGAGCTTGAGGTTTTCGGGGCTGGTGCGTGCGAATTCCTGCGCCACGCTGCGTCCGATACCGCTGCTGGCCCCGGTCACCAGTATGGTCTTGCCCGCTAGCCGTTTACCCTGGGCAGAGAGAGAGGACATTTTTCTTATTGTGGTCGCGAGAATGAGGCGCTTGTTGGTGTCGATGAGTGCGGCGGGAGGGTTGGAAACTCGGTGCGGGGAAGTTGAGGCCGCACTAAGGACTCGCAGAGAATGTCGAGCAGAACTGTAGAAGGAGGCAAACGCGGAACGTAAGGGAGGAGGCATGTACAACTGACAGAGAGTTACAAATCGGAGGGAAAAGAAGAGATACAATATATCCAGTCACGCAATGATGCTAGCACGATAGGGTAGGGGAAGCCATTGGGTTGGAAAGTGGGAGGAACTTCGGTCGGATAAACGCCGAATTGGAGAAGAGAGGATCAACGGTCGGTAGTATCAAGCTAGGAGTTAGCGGGTCATTAGTCAGGTTTAAGAGCAGCAACCTTGGAGGCAGCCATGAGTGCTAAGCATTTCAGAGTCAGCTAGTGACAAGCTAGTGGCCTAGGCTTGCCTACTGGCTATCCGCACGGGGTCTTCTCCGTGATCGGCAGTTTCCCCCACTCAAACAACTACGGAGTCATCTGCATAGAGGGCAGCCCATTCATTTTAAAGGGGGTAGAAACAGAATCTTTACTTGACCGCAATCTGTCTACATATATCTCTCTCAACGAATCCAATAGACTCAGCGCTGTCCCGCAATATCCAGAATGTAGGAAATGTTGGTGGCCAGCCGGTCTTGGTCCCATCTCGATGTCCTTACCATCGCTTCCTCCCTTCTAATTTCTCGAATTCATCATTCTTCTCCTGGACAACTTTCATATAGAACCCCAAGACAGCCGCCTTGAGCCCAAGAAGATATTTCATTCGTATTCACCCCAAGAGGTGGAAATCGTCGTGAGCTTATGCGTGATCTCGTGTCCGTTGGAAACAGTGTCTCCTAAGCCTTTTCCCAAACAAGGTCGCACGGACTATTGCCCTTGGAGCCGATGTTGTCACCGATCGGGGCATAGCACCGAGCCCCAGAGTGCGGCCTGATTGGTTACCCTCAATATATCTATCAGTTGATCCAGCTGTGGAAAATCCAATAGTATAAGACCAAAACCCTCGGTTGAGCATGTCTATAGGAAGCCAGATTCTGACAACAATCGGGCAATCTTTTCTTCTTCTCGTTCTCGGGGTTCGATCTTCAAACTCTGGTTATACATTCCAATTTCTTGCACGTCACCGGCGTTTCTCATGTTTTCTGTGATCCATTCTTGCAATTCAGGCACTGGATTCAGACCGTAAGGGACATTCTGATATGACTGTATATCGCGGATGACCTCAGCGGTTTTGGTCCGTTTGGCAAAGTTGATGAGCTCCGAACCCTTCATTAAAGACGCAATACCATCCTCGATGAAAATCAGATCCGTCAAATATACTCCCAAGAATGGTATACAAGGAGGAGTCGCGGCATGTAGTGTCTCACGATAGAGTGAAAAGTTCTTGGACGTAGAGATTAACGAGCGCATTGATTCCAGTAATGCTTGTGTTTTAGGATTGAGTTGTTGCCAGGTGCGATTCAGTCGCAAGATTGGTGAAGTTCCCAGGGCTGATATGATCGCTGTCACAGCCGAGAAATTGTTCAGCGCTCGACATCTCTGCCATCGTGTTAGCCGAATAGCCATCTCACAAATTACAATACAACTTACGTCAGCAATGGCCACAAATTGCTTGATCACAGCCACTCGTTTCTTGAGTTCGGGATGAGCCAAGATCATCTCAGCCACCCAGTTTGTCAGTTGATTTGAATGCAAAATCAAGGCCTGAACATTAGGCGCGGGTTCGGTGTCTGTTTGCCCTTTCTTTTCCCAAGTCTTTGCCAGGCACTCAACGGGCTTGATCTTGCCATACAGCTTAGACTCGATGATAGTCAACTGTCTGGAAAACTCCGTGGGGTCGATATCAAGGAACTTCAACTTCTTCATGTTCTTGGGCAGAATGGGTGCTGGGGCCGAGTTGTTCAAAGTCAAGATCAACTTCTTCGACGTCGTTTCTAAACCCTTCATTCGCTGGTCCACCAAATTGATCAGGACTTTCGCCAATCCGATCTTGGTGCTTGTATATGTACTCTTGGCAAATGCCAATATTCGTTCAAGAAGCGCTTGGCTTTCCGCATCGTCACTCTCCATCCAATATTGTTCAAGCCAGGATTTGAGGATATTCAAGACCCTGAAACGAGCGGGTTTCTGTTTATGCTCTTCCCAGATTGACAATTCATCACGTGCGAGTCCTTTGGGTGGTTGTAGATTAAATCTTCTCACAAGAAGCTCAAACAGCTCCGCTGCAGATGTAAAAGATCGATAGGTGAGCAAGAAGATTGTCGCAAAGGTGGTATCGGGACGGTCGTGGCGTGTCAGCTGCTCCACTAATCCAGTCAGAGTGCCACTCTTGACTTGGACAACTTCGTTTCGAGTGTCATACTGCACTTCGTCTGGATGATCAAGCTGCAAATACCATGGTACTTCTTCTCCAGCATTGAAAGGTGGTTCGTTTGCCGTCTTGATACTCGTGAGATTGGGGGGCAACTGGCCAAAAAATTGCCTCGCCTTGTCCTTCGTGGGGCGCCGTGGTTTCTCAGCCGTGCCCTCCGGTGGTTCTTGCCCGAGAGTATACGACTTAGACTGCCCAAGATCTGCCAGCGCCGGTCGAAAATTTGCAGCGTGAGTCGAATCTCCTCGTAAGTGATGGTTTTGATAAGTTTCTCCACCATCCGTCATACGGTGGTCCCGCTTGTTGGTGGAACTTGGGGCGTTCAAGGTTGTTGCTGGAAGTAACAGTTGAAGTGCGTAGGTGACATTGGAGACATAAGTTTCAAGTTGTTTGCTCGCCGTTCGGGCATGGTGCATGCGGATATCCAGAGACTCGCCCCTGGTTTCCGCCCATTCATCAGGCAGAGGAGCGGTTATAGCCTGGCACGTTGCTACCAGCTCGCCGATCGAGTCATATGCCTTCTGTTTCTGTGTCCCAAAATCCACCAATGAAGGTTTCTGGAAAACGTTGCCCAGTGCAGACAAATCAATGGATTCAACATGCTGAATCCATGGTCGGAATTGATCGAGTGCAGCACCAGCCTTATGGCATATCATATCGCCTATGTCAGCTTGTCGGGTGGGTGTCGCAATCTTTTCTGTCAGTTGCAGCGCCTCCTCCAGGCGGCGTAGGGAAGTTGTGAGGTTCTTTTTGCAATCTTCAATGAATCGGAGTAGATTGGCGTCTAGTGGCGCAGATGGACGAGAGCGGATCTCATCACTCGAGTCCATAAACGAAACTTCATCGAGTTTCGACTGACTGTCGATATTATTATCACGCCAGCCACCGCCAACGGTGCTGCCCATTATGAAACCTGGATTGAGGCGGGGGATCTCTTCTCCTCTTTGCTGTCGAGCCACCTCGACATAGCCATATACACCGTTCAGCACACCGTCAGCCTCTTGCAAGCACTTGGTCAGAGCATCTGGACCTGGCCAGTCGGCGGCTGCAATATGCGAAGACAGCACCAATTTTGAGAATTTCGACATCATCTCACGGAAGTGGGGATATAAAGCTTTATTAGATGAGATGATTGATGGATTGCCTGAGTGATTGTCAGTTGTGCCTGAACCAGCAGCCAGCAGCATGCGCAAGTGATCGGAGATATCTTCGGCTCTTCGAACGTAATCAGCACGGGCGTGGCTTCGAATGGCGCGTCGATAGGCTTCAATAGCCGATCGCATGTTCTCGACGAGAACACCCCAGGTGACAGGTGCAGCCACAGCGTCGTCCAGAAAGAATCTCGGCGTGGGTGATTTGGTGAGTCTGGGTTGCGGCGGTACAGTAAATGAGGTGGAAGTCGTTCCCAGGGGAGGAAGAGCCATGGAAATCCCGGTGTGAGAGCCAAAAGTGTTGAGGTGAGGAGGAACCGAATTACCAGCCTGCCGGGCAGCGCTGATATCGATAGAGTCCATGGAAGTGGAAGTGGAGATGCTGCCAGAAGTCATGGAACTCTTTTTGCGTGAAGATCTTAGGGATTGTTCACCATCGGCCTCGGAGGCAGAGCCATCATAATCTTCCTCATTCTGGCCATAACCCTGGGCCATCATCTCTGGTGGTGGCCTGGTCTGTTCAGGAACATGGAAATGATTGCGATCGCGTGGTCCAGTCTCCTCTGAGGTTGTTGGAGTTTCCAGAGGCAGCTCCATGGTACTGACACCTGTCAGGGTGTTGAAGTAAAACAATCGGCCATCTGGGGTGGCTTGAGGCACCCAAAAAGCGGCTTCTTCCTGGGGATGAGCGGTGCCACCTTCTATGGGTAAATCAGAGTCTTCATCCTGGGTGTGACTGTCAGAGTCATCCTCTTCGTCGTCATATTCCTCCTCGGTGCCGGTGCCAGAACCGGTCTCGCTTCCTTCATGAGCAGAGGCACTGGATTCATCACCCCCGATTTCGACGGTATAGTTGCTGGGGAACCAGCCCCGAACATCATTGATTACCCCATCCCACCAACCACTCTCCAACTGAGTCAAGACCTGAATTATATCGCCCTGACGAAAGCTCAAACTGGTATGGTCATCGGCATCATAGTTGTACAGGGCGCGGACAAAGATGAGCGGAGGGGGGGGAGGCAGATCTGGGCTGGCGACATAGCCGTTCATCGCCGCGGCCTGAGCAGCACGACGACGCGGCGACAGGCCGCTCATGGGTGAACGGAAATCGTCAGGGCGAGAGGTTGCGGGAGAGTGACGAGAGTGTTCGGTGTAATGAAAGGCGGCGGCAAAGGTTGAGCCAGGCTTGCTGAATTGACCTTGGGAATTGGGATCTTGTGTTACCCTGTGGGAATTTGACATCTCCAGTTGGATTTAGGGCCGTTGGAAGTGGTTGAGCTTCAGCGCAAGAGTTTGCCTTTGGTAGCGCAGCGAGGCAGACGGGATCTGCATGTTCGACTACTGGTGGAGGGGCTCAGACGAAGGGGGCAGACGGGGGGGCGTCGCCGTGGGAAAGCGGGAGAGTGTGTGTCGAGTCAAGTCCAACGGTGGAATACGATTCAGACTGCACCGGAAGGCGTGAGGTATTTTGTGACTCGTGAATGTTGGAGAGTGGCAGGTGTCAAAGTCGACTTGGGCTCTGAGATGGAGAGGAGCAGGAGGCTAAGGCTGTAGCAGATGGGTAGGCGCCCACTTGGAGAGAGAGCATTGGTTGGCCGTAACTGGATAGGGCGGTTATCTGCAACGTACAGGAACAGATCAATCTGACAGAAGCGAGTGGGAAGGAATAAGAGAGATCGACCAGGCGTGTGGGAGTGTGGGAGTGTGGGAGGGAGGAAGAAGAGTAGCGATAAGACAGTATGGAGTAGGATGTTGTCGTCGCTCGAGGGTGCAATGGTTTGGAGGTCGATTGGAGTTAGGGGTGCAGGAGGAGCCAGCGCAGGTACTGTAAGAGTCAGGTGGGAGCTGTGAGGGATAGCTGTGTGATCTCTATACCGATGTGGCAGGGGGGAGTAAGGGCACACGGTGCCGCGCTCAGATCACGACTCGGGGAAGAGAGTGAGCCAGACACCAGACACCCGACACCCGACACCAGACTCCAGACACCAGACTAAGCGTGTGCCTTGGTCATAGGGGGTTAGGGCAGTTGGTACGCCGGCTAAGGTGATGCCTGACAAGGGCTAGGTGCCGCCTAGGGTGCCTGGGACGGGGGCATTAAAGAGGAGTGGTCTGTTCGTGGAGAGCCACCCATACCACCCATACCACCCAAACCATAAGCCAGTCCGGGGCGCCATGGGTTGTGCGCTATTAGATATTTACTCAGTACTCGTAGTCCTGACGGGCGGCTGAATGCAAAGTTCCGCATGGTTCCTCGCTTCGGTGAGGCGACGCCAGGCCTAGGCTGGAAGAGATATCATTTGTAAAGACAAGGCACTGCCTGGATGCCAGTGATCATGCACCCAGTCATGCATGACCACGTGAGGGTCGCAGACGTATCTACGTCAAAAGACAAGAATGACAATGCAATGAAGCAGACCACCTTCCACCAGTAGTGCACAGTGCACACCGAACCCCACCTGCGTCACATCGCCTGTTCCCCAGTCCCTCTTTCGGTGTTGCGTCGTCCGTCCTCCTTAGCGAGAAAGATACTCGTACGAGTATGAATGGGCAGAGAGCGAAACGACAGGTCCACTGGCCCAAAACAGATGGGCAAAAGCCTTTGCAGGAAGAAAGGCCTGTCCTCCCTCTCCCTCCTTCCCTTCTCTCTGACTCGATAATTCTCTAATTAGTATCGCGGTACCTCGCCCAAACTGGAAGACTGTCGTTTCGACCCGAGAGGGGTACGGTGACTCGTGACTACCCAATTGATATCCGTAATTCGCCCAGACGCCTCCCACCTCTCCTCGGAACAGCCGTGCTATATCACTTCCGTAGCCCATTCGTTTCACGGACGTGCCAACACTTTGCCCGCGATATCCCCCACGGAGGGGCCTGAGTCTTGGAATTGCGAGCGAGGGCTTATTCTGAGGTATCTTGTCTGTCTCGCCTATATCATAGCCTAAATTCGGACCCATCTTCCCAGCTCAATGCTCTGCTCAGGAGACAACGGAATTCCGTATACAGCTCCCACAGATTCATTGATTCAATTATAGACCGAGAAAGCACCGAGTGCTCCGTGCAGAGTTCCAGAATCCTGAAGCCCGGAGCCCTTGACGCGTTCGGGGTGCATTTCTGGCACTCACACACGGACACTCTCAGGGATATTCCCCGCAATCGCCCTACGCGAGCTTTCTTACCAGGTACAACAAGGGCCGTGGTGATAGAGAGCCTGGGAGGATCTACGAGGAACTTCAGCCCACGTTTGCCACCGCATCATGACTTCCCAGCAAATTGTTCTTCTGTGTCATAGAAAACTCTGACCTCACTCTCGCAAAATTGACCTGTTCCGTGAAACCCAGGCAGGGGCGTCCGCAAATGATATGCATCCTGACCACCAACTAGACGTCCCTCGCCAGCCGATATTGCCCTGTCTTGCACGTCAACAAAGGACTTCTGCCGTGCATCTAGATAGCAAGGGCTCGAGGCTGGAGCTGAGCCACCTGCCGTGCACCCAAACGTTGGCCACAATGCATGGTACATCCCACAGGGGATTCACACATGGGAGAGATGTACATCTATTGTTTAGTTTTGGAGTCCCCAAGGCTGCGAGCGGAGACGGCCATATCCGAACTGAACTAACGTTGCATTCGCCAACCTCATCCACCAAAAAGGATCGATATCATCATGGCCTCAATACGCTCATCGCTAGTTCCAGAAGCCGAGTCATCCATACGTGTAAGCACGAGCGAGAGTGAGACGTACGCTGATCAGAGGATATCGCGGCATTCCATGGTAACTAGGTTGAAGCCAAGTCATTATTGTGGCCCTGTGCACGTATTCGCTTGAGGCCAGAGATAATGATAACCAGGTACGAGATCAAAGACCAGTGATTCTGACCTGCAGCCAAGAGACCCTTGCTCTCTAAACCTCAGACACCCAACACCCTCCAGAACCAAGCGCAGAAACATAACTCACACGATGGCCCCTTCGCCCCTCCACGTGGGCATCATCGGCGCCGGGATGGGTGGACTCAGCGCGGCGATCGCCCTCGCCCGCGGTGGGATCAAAGTGTCCATCCTCGAGGCCACGACCGAACTCGGGGAGATCGGGGCCGGGATCCAGATCTTCCCCAACGTCTCACGCTACCTTATCCGCTGGGACGTGGACACTCTCATCGGCGACAACCTGGTGTCGGTGTCGGAGGTGCGCACCTGGGGCAGCGACGGGCAGGTCGTCACGCGGGTCGACACGCAGCGCGTCAAAAGACTCACAGGGTTTCCGCACTGGATCGCGCGTCGCGACCACCTCCACGCCGGCCTGACGGAATCCGCGCGGCGACATGGGGTCGAGATCATCGTCGGCGCCCGCGTCCAGGCGCTGTCATACACGCCCTCCACCGCGACCGTGACCACCACGACCGGCGCCTCCCACACCTTCAACCTGGTCGTCGGCGCGGACGGCATGAAATCCACGATTCGGGGACACCTCTTCCCCTCGGCCCTGCCGCGCGCAACCTCGAAAGTCGCCGCATATCGGGGCGTGCTCTCGATCTCCGAGATCCTCGCCAAAGCCCCCGAAGCAAAACCCATCCTGACCAACACGATGGACATGTGGACCGGGCCCAACGGGTACATCATGACGTACCCGCTGAGCGGCGGCAAGGAACTCAACGTAGTGACGTCGTTCTGCAAGGACTACCTGGTGACGCAGATGGAGGAGGTGGCCATCGACGAGTTCCACGCGTACTACGCCGACTACTCGCCCGCCATCCAGTCCGTCATCAAGCTGGTCAACTACACGCAGCGCTGGCCGCTGCTGACGATGCCGCCGCTGGAGAGCTGGTCGAACGAGCACAAGAATGTCGTGCTGCTCGGGGATAGTGCCCACGCCATGCAGAACCACATGGGCCAGGGCGCCGCGACCGCCATCGAAGACGGCGTGTTTCTCGGTCGAGTGCTGAGCGAGGTCGTGCGCGGCGTCGTCAGTCTAGCCGAAGCGGTGGCGCTGTACGAAAAGAAACGCATGCCGCGCGCCTGGACGAAGCAACAACTGGCCCTGGTCTCCGGCGACCTCAACATGTGCCCTGATAGAAACGACCTCGAGAGACGCAACCGCGCCAGTCTCCCCGAGGTCGAGGGACTTGCGGGCCGCGCTTCCAGCGAGCAGCAGCAGGAGCAGCCGGCGTTCCCAATCCTCCCGCCGGCATACCGCTCATGGCAGATGTTCTCGTCCGTGGACACGGTGCCGTCAATCTTCAACTACGACGCCGAGGCCGACGCGGACAATGCCGTGCTCGAGTTCCTGCAGGCACGAGACCGCGAACACGGCCATGTCGATGACTTCACGATGCTGAGTCGCAACCTGGCCAGGAAGTGCTGGTCTGCACTGGACTTTAATGGGATTCCGGAATCTTAATTGACGAGGATCGTGGTGGTGGGAGGTGAAGGAGAAGGGAGAAGGGAGAAGGGAGAAGGGAGAAGGGAGAAGGGAGAAGGGAGAAGGGAGAAGGGAGAAGGGAGAAGGGAGAAGGGAGAAGGGAG